ATTCCGCATTCCATTCTCCGTTCCATTCCATCCCATTTGCCATTGCATTCCATTCCACTCCTTCCTCCATGTCATTTCATTCTCCATTCCATTACAGTCTCCATTTCATTTTCCATTCCATTCCATTCTCCATTCCATTCCATTCTCCAATCCATTCCATTCCATCCTTTATTCCGTTCAGTTCTACATTCCATTCCATTCTCCATTCCATTCCGCATTCAATTGTGCATTGCATTCTCCATTCCATTCCATTCCATTCCATTCTCCATTCCATTCCATTCTCCATTCCATTCCAAACCATTCTCGATTCCATTCGATTCCCCTTTCCATTCCATTCCCCATTCAATTCCATTGTCTATTATATTCCATTCACCATTCCATTCCCATTTCCATTCCATTCCATTCTCCACTCCATTCCATTCTATTCCATTCCATTCGCCTTTACATTTAATTCCATTCTGTTCCATTCCATTCCATTCTACTCTGCTCCATTCTCTATTGAATTCTCTATGGAATGGAGTGGAAAATGCAGTGGAAAGGAGAACTGAATGAAGAATGGAATGAAATGGAGAATGGAAGGGAATGGAGAATGAAAGGGAATAGAGAATGGAATGGAGGATGGAGTGGAAGGAAGAATAGAATGGAGGATGAAATGGAATAGAGAATGGAATGGAATGGAGAATGAAATGGAATGGAGAATGGAAGGGAATGCAGTGGTGGACAGAATGGAATGGAGAATGGCATGGAGACTACAATGGAATGGGGAATGAAATGGAGTGGAGAATGGAATGGAATATGGAATGGAATGGATAATGGAATGGAGATTGGAATGGAAAATGGAATGGAATTGAGTGGAATAGATTGGAATGGAGAGTGGAATGAAGAGTGGAATGGAATGGAGAGTGGAGTGGAATGGAATGGAAGATAGAATGGAATGGAATGGAGAATGGAATCGTATGGAATGGAGAATGGAATGAAATGGAGACTTGAGAATTGAATGGAATGGAATGAAGAATGGAATGGAATGAAGAATGGAGAATGGAATGGAGAATGGAATGGGATGGAGAATGGAATGGAATGAAGAATGGAATTAAATTGAATGAAGGATGGAATTGAATTGAATGGAGAATGCAATGGAGAATGGGATGGAATGGAGAATGGATTGGAGAATGGAATGGTATGGAATGGAGAATGGAATTGAATGGAAAGTGGAGTGGAATGGAATAGAATGGAAAATGGAATGGAATTGAGAGGCAAAGGAATGGAATGGAGAATGGACTGGGAAATGGATTGGAAAATGGATTATCAAATGGAGAATGGAATGGAATCAAATGGAGAATGGAAGGGAATGGAGGATGCAGGAAATGAAATGGAATGGGGAATGGAATGGAGAATGGAATCAAATGGAGAATGGAAGGGAATGGAGAATGGAGTTGAGAGTGGAATGGAGAATGGAGTGGAATGGAAAAAGGAATGGTATGGAATGGATGGTAGAATGGAATGGAATGAAACGATGAATGCAATATAATAGAGACTGGAGAATTGAATCGAATGGAGAATAGAATGAAATAAAGAATGGAATGGAGAATGAATGGAATGGAGAGTGGAATGGAATGGAGAATGGATTGGAATTGAATGGGAAATGGAATAGAGAATGCAATGGAGGATGGAATGGAGAATGGAATGGAATGGAGAATAGAATGGAGAATGGAATGGAATGGATTGGAATGGAATGGAGAATGGAATGGAATCAAATGCAATGGAGAGTGGATGGATTGCAATAGAATGGAGAATGGAATGGAATGAACTGGAGAATGGACAGGAAAATGGAAGGGAGTAGAATTGAGAATGGAATGGAATGGAGAATGGAATTGATTGGGATGGAGAATGGAAGAAATGGAATGGAATGGAGAATGGATTGGAATGTAGAATGGAATGTAACAGAATGGAATGGTATGGAATGGAGAATGGAATGGAAAATGGAGTGGAATGGAATGGAATGGAGAATGGAATGGAACGGAGAATGATATGGAAAGGAATAGAATGGAATGGAATGGAGAATGATATGGAATGGAGAATGGAATGCATAGTGGAATAGAATGGAATGGAATGGAGAATGGAATGGAATGGAGAATGGAATGCATAATGGAGTGGAATGGAGAATGGAATGGAGAATGTAATGTCATGTAATGCAGAATGGAATGGAGAATGTAATGGCATGGAGGATGGTGTTGAATGGAATGGAGAATGGGATGGAATGGAATGGAGCATGGAATGGTATGGAATGGAATAGAATGGAATGGAATGGAGAATGAAATGAAATGGACTGGAATAGATTGTGGAATGGAAAGGAGAATGTGTGGAATGGAGACTTGAGAATTTAATAGAATGGGGAATGCATTGGAATTGAATGAAGAATGGAGTGGAAAATAAAATGGAATGGAGAGTGGAATGTAATGGAGAACAGAATGGAATGAAGAATGGATTGGAATGGGATTGAGAATGGAATGAAATGGAGAATGGAATGGAGAATGGAACGGAATAGAGAATGGAATGAAATGGAGAGTGGATGGAAAGGATTAGAATGGAGAATGAAATGGAATTGAATGGAGAATGGAATAGTATGGAATGGAAAATGGAATGCAATGTAATGGAGAATGGACTGGGAAATGGGATGGAATGTAATAGAGAATGTAATGGAGAATGGAAAGGAATGGAGAATGGAAGAAATGGAATGGAATCAAGAATGGAATGGAATGAAATGGAGACTGGAATGGACAATGGAATGGAATGGACAATGGACTGGAATAGAATGGAAAATGGAATGGAGAATGGATTGGAGTGGAATGGAGAATGGAATGGAAGGAATGGAATGGAATGGAGTGGAGAATGGAATGGAACAGAGTGGAGAATGGAAAGGAATCGAAAATGGAATGGAGTGAAGAATGGAATGGAATAGAGAATGGAAAGTAAAGGAGAATGGAATGGAATGGAGTGGAGAATGAAATGGAGAATGGAATGGTATCGAATGGAAGATGAGATGGAATGGAATGGAGAATGGAATGGAATGAAAAGGAGAAGGAAATGAAGAATGGAATGGAGAATGGAATAGAATGGCATGCAGTGGTGAATGTAATGTAATGGAGAATGGAATGGAATGGAGAATGGTATGGAGAATGTTATGGAGAATGTTATGGAGAATGCAGTGGAATGGGGAGTGGAATGGAATGGAGAATGTAATGGAATGGAGGATGGAATGGAATAGAAAATGGAATGGAATGGAATAGAGAATGGAATGGTATGGAGAATGGAATGGAATGGAGAATGGAATGGAATGGAGAAGGCAATGGAAGGGAATGGAGAATGGAATGGAATGGAGAATTGAACAGAATGGAATGGATAATGGAATGGAATGGAGAATGGACTGGAATGGAATGGAGAATGGACTGGGAAATGGAATGGAATGGAAAAGAGAATGGAATGGAGAAGGAAATGGATTGGAGAATGGAATGGAGAATGGAATGGAATTTAATGGAATGGAATAGAGAATGGAATGAAATGGAATGGAAAATGGATTGGACTGGGAAATCAAATAGAGGATGGAATGGAAAGGAGAATGGAATGGAATGGACAGTTGAGTGTAGTGAAACGGAATGGAGAAAGGATTGGAATGGAGAATGGAATGGAAGGGAGAATAGATTGGAGAATGGAATGGTATGGAATAGTGAATTGAGAATGGAATGGTGTGTAGAATGGAATGTAATGGAGAATGGAATGGGATGGAGAATGGAGTCGAATGGAGAATGGAATGGAGAATGGAATGGAATGAAATGCAATGGAGAATGGAATGGAATGGAATGGAATAGAGATGGAATGGAGATGGAATGGAGAATGGAATGGAATTGAATGGAGAATCGAATTCAATGGGGAATAGAATGGAATGGAATAGAGAATGGAATGGAATGGAGATGGAGTGGAGAATGGAATGGAATGGGGAATGGAAGGAATGGAGAATGGAATAGGGAATGATATGGAATGGAGAGTGGAATTTAGATGAAATGGAGAATGGAATGAAATGGGGAATGGAATGCAATGAAATGGAATGGGGAATGGAATGGAATGGAATGTGGAGTGGAATGGAATGGATTGGAATAGAGAATTGAATGGAATGGAGAATGGAATTGATTGGAGAATGGAGTGGATTGGAGAATGGAATGGAATGGCGAATGAAATTGATTGGAGAATGGAATGGAATGCAGAATGGAATGGAATGCAGAATGGAATGGACAATGGAATGGAATGGAGAATGGAATGGAATGGGGAATGGAATGCAGAATGGAATGGGAAATGGAATTGAATGGAATGGAAATCTTGCTTGCAGGTAGACAGCCTAAATATATAAACAGACCACTTGATTTCATACCTTCCTCCAATAACATTAAATAGGTCAGAAGTTAGGGAAAATTATTCAAGTGAATGCAAAGGAAACCTTCGTGGAAGATTGAATCTAGGGGTGGTACTGACTCATTCTACCTATTCTAGACCATAGCCCTTCTGATGGCCACAGAAACAAGGAGACTCAGGAACACCAGAATCAGCATGTTTCACAATGATTGAACAGGCATTTTTTCGGGGGCTGTCTTCAGTAGAAATTACCAAGAGAAGTATCAGTTTCCAGAACAACTAGAATTAATTCCAAGTCCTAGCTTTGATAAATTGTGGCTTCTGAAGTTTGGGGTACAAGGTCTTGTGTGATTAGGCCTTGGTTTGTACTGTATCAACAGAATAAATTTCAACTATTACTACATTTTTAACCTTTTTACCACATCAAATCTATATTAGGTATAAGTCAAAATTAGTTTAACCAGCTGCTTGATTGAAGGGAGAAATTGTTTTATTTTTGATTCTAGATTATGATTTTAAATTCCTGATCATCTCAGGAGTTTTCTAGTTTAAACCTATATGGCAGATAGTAAACATGTTTATAATTCTCTTTATAGGGGAACCTCCATTTCTACCAGAATCCTTTGACCGAATTCTTCTGGATGCACCCTGTAGTGGAATGGGACAGAGACCAAATATGGCCTGTACTTGGTCTTTGAAGGAATTGGCATCATATCAGCCATTACAGCGAAAACTCTTCACTGCAGTATGTGGTGGTCTGTTGTTGTGAAAGAAAGTTAACTTTTGCTACTTTGGTGTTTAAACCACTGAGAGCAATCTCCATAGCAGCATTCATTACAATAGCCAAAAGGTGGGAACAACCCAAGAGTCTGTTGACAGATACATGGATAACAGAATGTGCTATATCCATACATGGAACATTATTCAGCCTTCAAAGGAAGTGAGATTCTGATACGTGCACAACATGGGTGAACCTGGAAAACATTATGCTCAGTAATATGAACCAGACACAAAAGGAAAAATGCTGTAATATTTTGCTTATATGAGTAGCTGGGAAATTCATAGAGACAGGAGGAAGAATAGATATTACCAGGCATTGTGGGGCTGGAGATTGAGGAGCTATTGTTTAATGCATATAGACTTGCAGTTTGGGACAATGAAAAAGTTCTGGAGATGGATGGTGGTGATTGTTGCCCAACAATGTGACTGTACTGAAGGTCATTATTGACTTAAAATGACTAAAATGGTAAATTTTATGTTATTTATATTTTACTATACACACATACACACAAATACAACTGAGAGGACCTAGTTTTAAATATAGAAGTTTTCCTTTAAGTTGATTCACCTTTAAGATATACAGGCAATAGTAGAATTTCGTCACATATTTAATAAATTTCAAATATTCTGCTCTATTTGAAAAGTCACTGAATTGTTAACTTGTAGTTACTAATTGATGTAAAGAAATAGATATAAACTAAATTACTCTTTTTTAAAAAAATAGAGTTCTTGCTTGGGTATGGTGGCTCACACCTATAATCCCAGCACTTTGGGAGGCCGAGGTGGGCTAATCACCTCAGGTCGGGAGTTCGAGACCAGCCTGGCCAACATGGCAAAACCCCGTCTCTACTGAAAATACAAAAAGTTAGCCGGGCGTGGTGATGTGCACCTATAGTCCCAGCTACTCAGGAGGCTGAGGCAGGAGAATTGCTTGAACCCAGGAGGCGAAGGTTGCAGTGAGCTGAGGTCACGTCACTGCACTCCAGCCTGGGCAACAGAGCAAGACTGTCTCAAAAAAAAAAAAAAAAAAAGAAAGAAAGAAAAAAAGTAGATTTTGGGGTCTTCTTTAGAAGAAGAAGTTCCAATAGGAAGCAAAACTCATTGATAAAAACAGGAAGAGACAGTGGCCAGTGTAGGATATAGGAGAACCATAAAAACTGTACACATTTAACTTGTCTCTAGTACTTTCAGAAGAAGCCCAGATAGAACATTTGAGGATTTCTCCTAGTCTTGCAAAAATGACTCAGTGGATTTCAGAGTGTATAGACAGTGTTTGATCATAGATGAATTCATTATTTCATCCCAGCCCTCCAAAATACAAGGCTAGAGCAACAATGGATGTTCTGTAATGATTTAGTCTCTAAAGCTGTCTTTGAGTACATTCCGATTCAACTCTCTTGGTGTTTCCTTTCATACACAAAGGTAGCACTGGTTGTGGATTATTTGACTTCCTCTTTTTCTGTGAAGTCTTCAAAGAACTCATCCTCAGAATTAAAAGAGCAAGCAGCAAAAAGGAAGCTTTACTTATAGCTGAAACCCACTTTGACTTGAGAATAAAATTAGGATACTTCTGTAAAGGACTTGGATTTCTGTTCTTTGTAGGTCATAGCAAAAATAGTATTTTAAAAGGCTACTAGGAGTAGACGAATGATCTCAATGAGAAGGAAAAGCTGACAGTATATGAGAGAGAACTTGAGAATATAGCAGGTGTGCCATTTGGCCTGGAGAGAAATCGAGAATGTGGATGTTAGAGTCAGACACATGTTGACTTGAGCCATGGCTCCTCCTCCTAAGTGACTTTATGTACATTGCTTTCTATATCTGAGTAGTAGGGATAACAGCTCTACCTACTAGGAATACATCTTTGGTGATAGTCATCTTACTTTGTGGTTGTTATAAGGATTTGTTGAGAAAAATTCATGTACAGTGTTTAACACAGTAACTGGCACATAGTAACAAAGTTTAAATTTTGATCAGCATACTCTGATTTAAAAAGCACAAGTGTGTACACTCTATTTTTAAAGATTTCCTTTAAAATTTTAAAAATCAGGAGCTTGAAAAGTTGAACTTTAGGTATTTGAGACAAATCTATTTTAACATAGCACCTTATCTCCTGATTCATCTATTCAACAAATACTCATAGAGCACCTACTGTGTGTAAGATGCTATTCTAGACATTGACGGTACAGTATTGAGAAAGTAGACAACATTCCATGCCCTTATTCACGAGGTTTCTGTTCTAACTGGGAGAGGAAATAAATGAGTTTTTTAGTATATTAGAAGGCAATAATGCAATGGCCTATGGAGCAAGCCAAAGGAACTGGGGATAGGAGTGTTGGATTGGAATAGTTGAAAATTTACAGAGTGCCTGGGAACGTGACATACATGCAAAGATAAGGAGAAAGCAGTGCAGAGAATTAAGAGAGCTTTCCCAACTGCTGCAAAGATTCTGAGGTGCCACTGTGCCTTGTGTGTTCCAGAAACAGCAGAAGGTCAGTGTTGCCAAAGTAGAACGGGCCAGGGTAAGAGGTATACAAGAGGAGGACCAGAGAGGCAACAGGAGACTTGTTTATGTCTGGCCTCAAAGGCCTCTGTAAGGACTTTGTCTTTGACTCTAAGTGATCATGGAGGACATGTGAGGGGCTTGGGGCTGAGAAGGGACAAGCTTAAAAGGACTGCTTTGTCTGCTGTACTGAGACTAGATTGCAGGAGGGCAGGGAATAAAGCAAGCTGATGAAGTTGAGGCAGTTGCAATAATCCAGGCAAAAGATAAAGAGGCTTGGACCACAATGATAGCAGTGGAAGTGGAGAGAAGTGGCCAAATTCTGGCTAGAATTTGAAGGTAGAGCCAATAGGACTTGCTGATGGTTGGGGGAGTCAGAAAAAGAGGCATAAACGATCATCTGAGGTTTGGCACGTGAGATTCTGGAAAGATAGGAAGACTCCTGCAGTAGGTTTCAGAGGGAAAGGAGGAGTTCATTTTGGCACATGTCAAGTTTGATAGGATTATAGAAATGTTGAGAAGGGCCAGACCTATGGCTCATACCTGCAATCCCAGCGCTTTGGGAGGCCAAGGTGGGAGGATTGCTTGAGCCCAGGAGTTTAAGACAAGCCTGGGCAACAGTGAGACCTCATCTCTATTTAGAAAAATAAGAATGAAAAAGAAATGTTAAGAAGCCAACTGAATGTTTAAGTAGGGAATTTAACAAGGAGGTCTGGCCTAAAAATGTAAATTTGTGAGTTTTCAGCATAAAAAATGGTATCGGAAGGCATGAAGGTGAATGATTGTGTTTGGGGAAGTCTTGGTCCATATGGAGTATGACAGTTCCAAGATGATGAAATGCACCTAGTCTAGTCTGCAAGTATTGCTCTTGCAAACTCTAATTACAGAAGGAATCCTTGTCACATAGAACATCATTTTATTTATCCCAAACATTTGAAAGATATTACACCTTATGCTATGAAATTCATGCAGATGTTTATTTGGTTTTGTGCTGTGTGTGGTCTAATCACAGTTTTCTTTAGGCAGTTCAGCTGCTGAAGCCAGAGGGTGTGCTGGTTTATAGCACATGCACTATAACGCTGGCCGAAAATGAAGAACAAGTTGCCTGGGCCCTGACAAAATTTCCTTGCCTTCAGCTTCAGCCCCAGGTAGGACTAATTTCATTTTTCTCTGTGTAATAAGATAAATCACAGAAACTGAAGCACTGTGGTAAACACAGGGTGTTAACGAAGAAAAAAGTAAAACTTCCAAAGTGAACACTGTAATAAACAAGAATGCTTACCTAATTAGATCCATTTTAGACTGCCCATAATTTGCATGTCCTGACAAAGTTTTTTCTCATCTTTGTTCCTTGCCATTGTGTTAAAATGGCACAGAGCTTGGGAGTATTTTTGTTATGTGTTTATTCCACTTGTAGCTATTCATGTTACTCGGCACCTTTTTTCTAAAAAGACTTTTTTCTTCTTTCCCAGTGCCGTATTTTTCTGATGTGGAAAATGTTGAGCATTTTCTCTCATGTCACATCAAAGCTCAAATGAGCTTTAATAACTGTGGGATATCAGAAGACCAGCCGAAAGGGAAAAACATGCTTCTGGATTATCGCTTATTATATACAATGTATAATATTTAAAAAGCTTTCTTATACTTTCTTTTACCTAACACAACTCTTTCTGTTATGGTCTTTATTAGAAATGTATTTTTGATTCAGTTTTTAGCCCAGGATATTTGAGATTAAGTTTAAATCTGTAATAATGCTCACATACATTCAGATACATTGAGCATCTAACTTTAGTACCTTTCTATACAGAAGTAGGTAATGGGAATACATAAATATAGATAATTCAGAGATGGTTTCTAGACTCATAAATTAAGGTAATTACATTGTAGATGAAAGGAAGACTTCAGAATTCACTTGGAAACATACACACTCAAAATATATACCTAAAAGAGATGGGAAGTTTTCCCCTGACCTCCATGGGATAATAAACGATCTGTTTTCTTAAGTATGTATCTAAAAACCTATCTTCATTAACATGCAAATGATTGTCTGTGATGGTGACTTAGGATTATAGATCTTCTTCAAGATCTATAGTAGTTTGCAAGTATCACTCAAGGCCTTATGATTCCTCTAAACTAATTGATACAGCCTTAAATTATGTATCCCTTTCTAATGTTTGTTTTTCTAGAAACTTTTCTCACCCACTTGGTATGGGTCAGAGAGAGGTACCTTAGATGCCTGAAGACCACCTTTCAGTTTTGGAAAATGTTAAATAAAGCTGAGTTTTTTCTGTTGCTTTCTTTTTTTTTTTCTTCTTCCCTTCCCCCTCCCTGCTCCCTTCCTTCTCTTTTATTTTCTTTTCTTTCATTTTTTATTTTTTGAGATGGAGTGTCACTCTGTCGCCCAGGCTGGATCGCCCAGGCATGATCTTGGCTCACTGCCACCTCTGCCTCTCGGGTTCAAGCAATTCTCGTGCCTCAGCCTCCCGAGTAACTGGGATTACAGGCGTGCACCACCACACCTGGCTAGTTTTTTGTATTTTTGGTAGAGACAGGGCGTCACCTTGTTGGCCAGGCTGGCCTCAAACTCCTGACTTCAGGTGATCAGCCCGCCTCGGCCTCCCTAAGTGCTGGGATTATAAGTGTGAGCCCCTGTGCCTGGCCTCTTCTGCTTTATTGATAATAATGTTCCATTTACTGAGTTCCTGCTATGTGCCAGGTGTGATACCACCTTCTTTGCTTAAGCCTTGTTTAATAGATGAGGAAATGTGGTTAATGTTACCTAAAGTCATACAGCTAAAATGTGATAGACCTGCAATTTGAGTCTACTTGTTTCCAGCTAAGAAGCTCAGGCCTTTAGTAATGTCACAGTGCCTGATAAGCATGTAATCATAGGTATTTGTTCATCAGGTGACGCATAGTATTGCTTTCCCACTTTACTGTCTGGAAAGCAGCACGTATTTTCCACCAAAATGAAACGCATTTACTCATTTTGCTATTTTTGGAAGATGTAGTCGTTACAGCCCAATTTGTCTTTTAACTTAAATAGTAGCAGGCATACTTGCTATTTATGGGATGTTCATCCATATTGATTCACTTTCTCCAAACAGGAACCGCACATTGGAGGAGAAGGAATGAGGGGAGCTGGTCTCTCATGTGAACAATTGAAACAGCTGCAGCGATTTGATCCATCGGCTGTGCCATTACCGGACACTGACATGGACTCTCTCAGAGAGGCCAGAAGAGAAGACATGTTGCGTCTGGCTAATAAGGACTCTATAGGTTTTTTTATTGCAAAATTTATAAAATGCAAAAGCACATAGGAGAGGATGGATGCTCAGAAATGAAAATTCCAAACATTTGCTGTCTGTGCTTTTTTTTTTTTTTATACCAAAGTGTTGTCAGGCCAACTGAATGATGACGTAGTTGCTAAGGAAACAGAAAGGGCTGCCAGCTGTTTTACCAGGGATCCAGAGACACAGAGGAAGTAGGGGGTGGTATGAGATTATATTTTCCGTTTTTAAAAGAAATTTTTGCTTTATGTATTTGGAGTATAAAGAAAAACAGATGCCTGTATATGTCTGGAGCATATTTTCATTTGCGAGCTAATGTTTTAATTTGTGAAGAATACAAGTCATTTTTAATGTTAAAAATTAGTGAATCTAACAAAAGGAATAAATTAGCAGCATTTGATGTGGTTATGAAAAGTGGTTTTTGTTCCCAGGTTCCTAAATAGTAGTTTCTTAAGGATTCAGGGCATGGGAAATCAAACATTGACTATGTGCCAATAATGGAGGTAAGTATTTTACCTGACTCTCTGCTTATTTAGTAGGTCAACCCCCTTTCAAATGAAGTCTGGACTTCCTCTAAATGATAGTGTGAAGTGATAGTCTAAAGACTATCACCGTCTAAATGATAGTCTGTTTAATGTTTTTCATAATTTTAAAAGAAAAAGTAAAATGAATATTTTCTTTGTAGATTTAGAAAATGAGATTATTCCACAATTTGGGTAACTTATCATGTGTTTGAAACATGTAAGTTATTAGAAAATGGTTGGTGAGAGGAAAATTAAAAAAAAACCCAGCTCTGGCAGCTGGGAAGCAGCCTGGCCTGACCCTCATAGCTGGGCCTTGGTGTTCTCCTGTTGAACATAAACAATTTCACGTAACACCAGCATCAGACAAGGCAGCTGTACCTATCATAGATTCAGACAAAAAAAGACCACAATCAAATCTGAACTCAGACAAAAAGCAGATCATCCTTCGAACTGCAAAAATACCCAAGCATCCCACTGTAGTGGCCAAAATAAGTGACTGCTTTTCAATTTAATTTTACTTTTTAAAGACAAGGTCTTGCTCTGCCGCCCAGACTGGAGTGCAGTGGCATGATTTCATAGCCCTCTGCAACCTCAAGCTCCTGGGCTAAAGCAATCTTCCTGCCTCAGCCTCCCCCACAGTTGTGTGCTACCTTGCTTGGCTAATTTTTTTTTTTTTTTTTTGAGAGAGATGGGAACTTGTTGTGTTACCCAAGCTGGTCTTGAACTCCTGGCCTGAAGCAGTCCCCCCGCCTTGGCCTTCTAAAGCACTGGGATTACAGATGTTAGCCATGCACCCAGCCAGCTTTTAAAAAAACATTACAGCCTTAGGATTTTGCTTTTCTATTGGCTTTTTAGACCAATCAGAACACTTAGTACCCAGCCATAGTTTTAAGGCTGTCTCATGGTGTTTAAATCCATCATACGGTTTTGTTAGCTTTTATTCAAATCGCCCAAAAGTTATCAGGCCTTGGGCATAAGAAATGGACAATTACTTAATAGTCTGATTTTTTTTCCCCCCTCACAGGTTTTCTTTAGGAATTTCTCATGACTATTTATTGTATCCATAAGGATTGCAAGGTCTCTTAGATCAGGTAAGACCGATAGATGGCCTCTTCTTTAAAGAAGGCTTTCTTGAATACCCTTCCCTGAGGTTGGATAGGCACTGTTCCCCTTCTGTGTGCCCCTGGCACCCACATCTAATGTTCTCCTGGCTTATGACACTCTCATTCAAATTTTCTATCCATGCCCCTTAAGCCCCAGCTTCACACCTAGGAAACATCCTCCAGGCAGAGACCCTGTACTGCCTTTTCTCTCAGTCACAGCTTCAGAGCAGTCAATAGATGCTTATTGTTTAAGAGAAAAATTATTTCAAGCAAACCTGTGTCTTTTACATCCCTCATTCTGCCTTATATCCAGTAGATGTCATTTGACTAAAGAGAAACAATTTTCCTGTGCGACTTATCTTTTTAGGGCTCAGCATACCTCCTTAAACTTTAAATGTGTTTTAAAAAACTCTACAAAAATCATTTTCTGTAATGCTCGCTGCACATCCTTATTTGCTAAGCTGGGATGAAAATGGCAGAAAATCAGCCTAGCAACAAACTTGTACTGATGTAAATGTTTGATTAATACCAAAAAATGTCAAAATACAACCAATGCCAGAAAATAGAAGAAAAATATTTACATATTGGAAACAGGACAGAGAATACTATTCGGAATTTTTCCTTGAACGTGGCTAATTTTCAGTGGGTTTCTTCCTTTCAAAAATTTAAGCAAATTGGAAAATCACATAAACTTAAGGGACATAGCAATATAAGAAAAAAATGCAGGAGGAAGGTGAAAAAAATCAGGGAAATGTGAGGGAAAATTAATATATATGTTAACATATTTAGTATTAACATTTCTATGAAACAGAAAAAGTACTTAAGTTCAACAGTGAGTACATTTACTTCAAAACCCTGTGTCATGTTTTAGTTTAAATAATGAATCTAAGTACAAATAGTTAAAAGTACAGCGTAGCAGAAATTAAACACTTGATCCAGAACCCATAACTGACCCAGATTATTCTACTAGAGCTCACATTGAAAAAAAAAATGTTTCTACATGGAGCTATCTTTTTTTTTTTTTTTTAAATCAGACATAATAGGAAGATTACTAAAGGAACATAAAGTGTTTGACATTGCCCCAAGAAAGATGCCCCACAGATGGGAAGTGTTGAATATTTAATATAGTCTCAACTACATGAATCATTTCTAACATGGCAATTAATACTACTACTAATAAACAGTGCAGAAGCCAGCTCTTTATTTGTTTTATATGAATTACTTTAAACCAGGTTTGTTAGACAGTTCAGTGTAGCTGACAGTGAATGTTGAACAGGAATGCATAGCAGACCATGTTAAAAATGTGGCATTGTCCCAAAGTACAACATGACTAAGACATCCTACATTTAGCAGCACCTTTTTGTAACAGTAACTTAAATGAGCAGTAGAGAAAGAGCATAGGAAAGACTGAAATGGGTATGACCAAAAAAAAAAACTATTAAATACATTTCCAGCATTTTCTAGGTTGACTACAAAAATCATGGTTCTACAGCTGAGTGGGTTAAGATTAAGCCTTTGTTGTGTGAAAAGACTATATACATTCCACAGGTCAGTAAATATCGCATTACCATTGGGATTATTTCCTCATTTACAGATTTACTACACAGTTTACACATATGTCCACTATACAGTTTTTCACATATAGATGCTCTTATGTCAAATCCTTCAAGCTAGTTTTTTGAGGAATATTCTAATTTGCACTCATACATTCCACAGTAAAGTGCAAGCTAAGAATCTAGATACAAAATTAAAAAGATGGCAACTCTAACCACTACTTTTTGAAAGGGATTAATGATAGCAGCAAGTAAGATAAATACTAGCTGTGTTTCAATAATTTAAATATTCCAAAATAATTAATTGGGATGAAATAGTAAAGGATTGAACCTAGTAATTGTGAATCTCTTACCATGACAAAAGTTTTATCAGAAATACTTTATAAAAGCAATTTTAATTAGAATATGGTTTCCTACTGGTAGGACAATGTAAGAATTGTCAAGTTTATTATGACTACTGTTTTTATACTCGGTAAAATAAATTCATGTAAACAGTATAGAGCTAATTAACAAATTGAGGGAAATTTTTCATATATAAGCTGATAAAACATTATATATGTAACTAATTTTTATTTTCGTTTTTTAGACACCAGGTTGTCACCAGGATAGAGTGCAGTGGTACAGTCACGGCTCACTGCAACCTCAACCTCCTGGGCTCAAGGGATCCTCCTGTCTCAGCCTCCCAAGTCCTGGGTCTACAGGTACATTCCACCATGCCAGCTTAATCATTTTTTAATACTGAGTTTTCTTGGGGATAAGGAAATAAGGTGTTAAATGTAAAACAGTTTTACTTATAAAAGTCTAAGAATATTTGGCAAGAACTTGGAATAATCAAGGAAGCAAAATAATTGATTTTATAACTATAGTTTTGCTGATTAGGTTTGTTTGTTTTTTGAGATGGAGTCTCACTCTGTCACCCAGGCTGGAGTACAGTGGCACGATCTTGGCTCACTGCAGCCTCCACCTCTTGGGTTCAAGCAATTCTCCTGCCTCAGCCTCCCGAGTAGCTGGGATTACAGGTGTGCACCACCATACCTGGCTAATTTTTTGTATTTTTGGTAGAGACGGGGTTTCGCCACATTGGCCAGGCTGATCTTGAACTCCTGACCTCAGGTGATCCACCTGCCTCAGCTTCCCAAAGAGCTGTGATTACAGGCATGAGCCACCATGCCCGGCTGATTATTTTGTTATATAAGTGAATATGTAGATCTGAAGTTAGGCAGTTAAACACAGGCATTTTATTGGGACAAACTTCAAGTACCAGGTACTTGCACTCTTAATACTGTCTTACCATCCAGTTATAACTGGACAAAATAAACACGAGACATGGAAAAGGTCTTAGCCTTAAACATGATGACATTGTAAGCTTCTTACAGCAGTGTAATTGAGGCATGGAGATAATGTCTTCAAGGTTCCCCTTCCGTGTAGATGTCTTATGTAGGATAATATTCTAAACATTTTATTCACTTCAAGTCACCCCATGTTGCCCTGATTACTTCTGAAAAACAGAAACTTTGGTTATAAGAAGCACTTCTGGGTTCTGACAGACAGTGAACCTGCTGGAGTCGGTGGTGGGGAGGAATGGTAGGTAACTGGGAGGTAAACAACAGGAACAATAGGCAAGGTTAGAAAATGAAGTGGGAGAAGTTATAAAAATTTATTTTCCCACGAAATAATTCCACAAGCTGTGTAAACATTTCTTACTAAAACAAATACTCTAACACACAAAGATTGTACATTTCCAGTGAAACACTCACAGTAAAATTGCCTGTATTTTTACTCTCTACGAGCAAAAACAAGGAGGCAGCAGATGAATGCTTTCCTAGTTACCTTTGGCAGCAAGCTTACTCACATTCCCTGACTGCTCAATGGGTTATTAAAGCAACATATAGCACAATTAAATACAGAGCCAGGTGGGCAGAATGCTCGATATCAGTCTTTAGTTTCTTCACTAGTCTTCAGCATTTCAATTCATCTCAGCCATTCAGTCACTCGTGCACACTCTTACATACGGACACACACACGTGCATATAGCGAGTTCCGGCTCATAGACTCCAGTGCAGTGACTAGAACAGACACTAGCTACTAAGAATGTGTCACAATCAGTGTGAACTGTATGGAGTAGAACAACCTCTGGAGTTTTATATTTACCATAATTTATGGTGAAAATTACAAACTTACAAGGATGGTATAACATTCAGAATTCAAACCTTTTCAAGTCAAGCAATCACACATATTTACAGTATGTACAATCTTTCTACTAGAATGAGGATAGGTGTCTAGACAATGTTATTACAAATTTCCTGAATGTGGGCATTTCTAGTCCCTGTAATTCATAAAGCAAATCTGCTGACTTGGCATTAAGACTCTAAAATAGTGTGATCAAACTTATATATATATATATATATAATATAATAAGAAGGTGTTTGCAGAAATAACATTTACAAACTGTCTATACAGTACACAGTACTAGTACATAGAAAATAGATTCTAACTTTATGATCCCCTTTGTGTAAGGCAAGACTGAATCTGTCCCCAAATTTAGTCAGCCAGAGGTACAAGCAAGAAACAGTGGTCCATGAATGAATATGCAAATCAGGTGCCTGCGTATTAAAAATCTGGAGAAACGAGAGATTCCACTTTTTATCTGTGCTGATTCTGGCTTGTTGGATACATCAACTACATTTCTTAAAACACCAACATCACCTGGGTGGCAACAGATTTTGTTCAAGTGGCAGCTACCCAAAACAGTTTTTGAAGAGTCCAGTATACAACCGGAGGACTGCAGCCATACCAGGCCAATTTATGTAGCACTTACAAAAGAAAAAGTATCTTAATACTCTATTCATGCTATTGCTATTTAAGCAACAGCAATACAAAATATTACAAGACAGATCACATATGATTGCAGTGTAGACCCCAAAGGCTTTGTTTTGGGGATGCTGTTATACAAGACTTCAAAAACAAAAACAAAAAAACACAAAAGGGCAAAAGTCATTGGCGGATGTAAACATCCCTGTTCCACTCCCCAGCCTCATTCCGTTTTTTGGATATCACTTCTCCATCCTTTTCACAGTAGCGATCCTTAGATTTATGACGGCTGCGCTGTTTGTTGCACTCATTGTGGTCCTGCTCTCGATCCACGTCTCGGGAACGGTGCCGAGACTCCCGGTGTCTGTGGTCACTGCTCCCGTGGGTCTCGTCTCTGTGGTTGTGGTCACGGTGTGAGGCATAGTGGTCCACGTGGTCATGGGAATAATCTTCCTTTGGCTCTATGTAGGCAGAGTCTCGACTCTCCTGGGTTTCCGAGTCAAATGTCTCTTGCCTGGAGAGGCCGCGACTTGTCCCACCGCGATGGTTGTGGTGTGGGGCTGAGGAGGAAGAGCGGTGCTGGGATTTTTTGACTGGTTCCACACTAGGTTCGTCTTCAGCTTGGGAAGCAGAACGGATAGGAGCGGAGCGATCAGTCCTTTGATCACCTTGAGAACCCTGGCAGCAAAAGGAGCATACCAGGCATTAACCAAGGTCAGTGTGTAAAGAACATGTCCCAGAGCAAGCGCATTCAAGTGGAGTCCTTTTTAAGCATCCGAAATGAAGTCTAACCTAGCTTCATCCCTTTGGTAACATCCAGTGGCATTTATAAGGCTTGTAGTGTATTAAACTGGACTTTGTAAGTGCCTAGAACAGTGTGCATGGTAACCTTTTCCTTAAAAAAAAGAAAAAAAGGCAGGGCAAGTGTTCTTTTATATATTCTCCTGCAGCTCAAATATAGATGCAGGTCCCTGAGATTTTTCTATACAGGGGTGTAAACTTAACTATCTCTGCTTGACTGTGATAATATTAAAAATAGCAAATCCTTATATGATACAGTGATACAATATGGGACAGGCACTGTTCTAGACCGTTTGTATATAATAACTCATTAATACAACAGCCCTATAAGATCATCTCATGAGATTACTAATTCCAGCAGCCTCATGGACAGGTTGCCATTATTATTCCTGAGGTAAGAACAGTTAAGAAATTTGCCCCAGGTTATCTGCCCCACAAGTGGTAAGAGGTGGAGCCAGGATTTGAATCCAGGTGATCCGCTTCCACAGTCTATATTACTGTTTAAAGTAGAAAGTTTCTACTGTAGAAAGTTTCTGTAGTCTATGTTTGTTCTGTCGATGGTGCTTTTCTTACAGGTACATGGCTCATGCTGGACTTGCTTTGAGTTAATATACTAGAACAAGCCCCAAGCAGGCTACTGGGCTTGGATCCTGGAGGTGTCACCATAGGCTACCTTTTTTCCTATGAAGATTGTATATATAGATATATAGAAAAACTCCCCTTACCTGTGAATTAGAGGCTAGAGTGGGGCTAAGAGGCAGACTTGAAGTGGCTAATGTACGGCTAAGGAGAGGGTTGGGGAGGCTGCTGCTGGGAGGATGGGTGGCCTTCCAGTAGGCCTCCAGATAGTCGGCAAGGTGCTCACAGGCATCCTCAAGCTGGTTCTCATCCAAGATCACATCGAACAACTCCTGCAGAGGCAGACATTCCAGACCACATTGACGCAGCCCCTTCCCACCTCCATAAGAGGAGGAAGGGGCTCATGAGCTGCACCCCTTTGTACTTGCTCCTGCTTCTATAAGCGCTGCTACTATCTCCTTTTTTATTTAGTTAGCAAGTGTCTGACTACCTCAAATCATTGTTTAGGGCACTGAATGCTTAACTAATAATGGCCAGAAAGGTAACAGTTGTTAAGGGCATGGCAGCACAGAAAAGTTGTCTATCAGCAATGAAAAAAGGCATGGATACTATGATACAAACGAGATGTATATATATTTGAACAGAATAGGATAGAAGCCTATTCTTGACATCAAGATCATGAAATCTTTTTTCTTTTTTTTGTTTTTTTTTTTGAGACAAGAGTCTCACTCTGTTGCCCAGGCTGGAGTGCAGTGACCTGATGTTGGTTCAGTGCAACCCTGGCCTCCCAGGTTCAAGCGATTTTCCTGCCTCAGCCTCTCAAGTAGCTGGGGTTACAGGTGCCTACCACCAAGCCTGGCTAATTCTTGTATTTTTAGTAGAGATGGGGTTTTGCCATGTTGGCCAGGCTGGTGTTGAACTCCTGGCCTCAAGTGATTTGCCCGCCTTGGCCTCCCAAAGTGCTGGTATTACAGGTATGAGCCACCATGCCCAGCCCAAGATTATGAAATCTGAATTTAGAAATTAATAAGGTAAGATTAGGATGTGAAATTTGGCAGAAGCAGCCGAAACCACTGATAATTTGACGTTGTCCAAACTTCACAGTTGAGAAGAAAAAAAGTCATTTTTCAAAAGATTTTTTAGTGTTTATTATAAATTTTAACATACATTAAGCAATCAAATATTCATAGCGCCTGAAATAGCTATGCTTGAAAAAAAAGCCTGGCGCAGTGGCTCATGCCTGTAATCCCAGCACTTTGGGAGGCTGAGGTGAACGGATCACTTGAGGTCAGGAGTTTAAGATCAGCCTGGGCAACATGGCAAAGTCCCATCTCTACTAAAAATACAAAAATTAGCAGGGCATGGTGGCGTGTGCCTGTAGTCCTAGATACTTGGAGGGCTGAGGTGGGAGGATCACTTGAGCCCGGGAGGCAGAGGTTGCAACAGTGAACCGAGAGGCCACCACTGCACTCCTGCCTGGGCGACAGAGCAAGACCCTGCCTCCAAAACTAAACCTAGGAAAGCTCTATAGCCCCAAGGCATTGTATGTAAAGCATAGACGACAAGTGAGAATCTAGTTAACTTATTCCTTAGAAATTGATTTTAAGACCATGTGAAAATATGTCTCAGTTACTAAGAGCAGACAACTTGCTCTCTATGATCAGAAATGAATAATATACCAACTCCAAATAGACTCATCATACAAGCCAAATTTTTGGAACCAGGATCTTGTGTTAGATATTAACAGCGTGAAGTTACTGCAGGATGTACTGAAGCTTTTTGTAAGCTATAAGCATCATTTGGATTACTTGTGCGCAAAACACATGATCATGGAAGGAACATGATCATGGAAGGAGGGAGGACAGTTTACTTTGGAATGAATACCACTTTAAGTGATGAGGATTCTCTTCTGTGACAGGTGTTTGACGGTTTTTTTCAAAATATAATGCCAGTTCTGGCCAGACATGGTGGCTCATGCCTGTAATCCTAGCACTTTGGAGGGCCAAGGCAGGAGGATCACTTCAGGCCAGGAGTTCTAGACCAGACTGGGCAACACAGGAAGATTTAGCAGGGGGGAAGGACAAAGATCTCTATAGGGGGGAAAAAAAAGTTAGCCGATCATGGAGGCATGCACCTATACCTATAGTCTCAGCTGCTTGGAAGGCTGAAGCGAGAGGATCCCTTGAGCCCAGGAGTTCAGGGCTGCAGTGAGCTGAGACCATACCACTGCACTCCCAACATGGGCAACAGAGCAAGACCTTGTCTCAAAAAAAAAAAAAAAACCAGGTCTGATCTCTGTAACTGGATTATGCTGTATATAGAGATAACTTACTGGAGGACACTGAGCCAGTTTATCAGCTGCTACCATCTGGACGTTGAGGTGTTTAGCTTGAGATTTCCCTCGAGATTTTATTAACCTTTGTAAAACCTGTAAAAGATAATGAGTTTTTAACAGAGTAGTAACTACACCCAGGTAAAGAACAAGGTACATTATTGACTCCTTTCTCTGGGGCCTTTTTATATACAGCACAAGGGGCTTGTAATAGATGGAGCTATAAGATTATCTGTAAAATTAACATAAATCACAGTTGCAAGCTTTAAGCACTCACATTCTTTTTTCTAAGCTAGCAGATCTCAAACATTTTGTCTCACAACCTCTTTAAAGAAGCTAAAATGGAAAACTATTACAACATTTAAAAATTCACAATAAATCTGCTACATGTTAAAATTTTTTTTATAAAAATAGCTACATTTTTTATAAATGTAACAGCTGGCTTCATAGAAGACAATTGCAGTCTCCTGTTTGCTTCTACAGTCAACCTGCTGCAGTGTCTTGTTTTGGTTGAAATATGTGAAGAAAATCCAACCTCTTACAGATTTGTAATTGAGAAAAGGAGAAACAATTTAGTATAGTCTTCTTTGATACTACACTAAAACTCAACAAATGGTAGTTCCGTTGTTATGTGGAATCTGAAACCTGCAGTGAAATTTTCTTACTCCATGACATTCCATTGGTCTATCTTGAAATTAACATTATTCATTGATCATACAAGCAATAATGGTTCACTGACTTCAGATCTTCCAAATGTTGACATATTTCATTATACAGTATTAAAACATCATATTCATTAATATTACCATTGATTTCATCAGAGAAATCTTTATTGGGAAGCTTCTAAGTCCTCAGAGGTGCATACAAGTTTTCTAAAATTCTGATTGTTGTCTGAAAGCTTGAGTTTTATCATTGGCAACACATGCTGTTCTCCTTGAAGTGACAGGCTTATTTTGTCCAAGAAAATATCTGCTACACCAAGTCTGAATAAGCATAGCCTGACAGTTGTTGTTGGAGATAAAAATGGCATTCCATGAAAAACATGGCTAGTTTAGTTCAAAACTCAATCACACCAGTGCTTGTCCTTCAGACACTTTTTGGTATGCAGCAGGAGCTTTGTGTGTACTTTATTACACTGAATATTAAAAGTCAAGATTTAATAAAAGTAATAAACTATACTACTTAATCAGGACAGTAAGTGAAATTGGCTTTTTTCCCCCTTAAACTGGGAAAGCACAGTGGTGATGAATACATGAACTTCTGGTACTTTGATACCACAGTCTTGATTCATGCTTAGATGCCAGCAGTTTTACCCACCATTGCTTTTGCATCAGCCTTGCAAATGTCAAAACAGTGAAAATGTCAAATAGTGTCCTAGTATTATCACGGAAGTAGTTTTGACTAATTAAATGGACCCTCTAAAAGTGTCTCAAGACCCTCCAGGGATCCATGGACCACACTTTGAGAACAGCTGTTCTAAGCCATGAAACTAACCATGCCTTGTTTATATCAATTTAAAAATTGTTGACCATCATGTCTCTTCAAATTCTCTGTACCTCATAAAGGCTATTACAATAGCCTAATTATAGAAAGCAGAACATAAAATACATTTTACTAAAATTTGATTATAGAGCAAACTGTAGCAATCCTACTTACCTTAGGAGAAGAAATCTTTACATATACTATAATAGGGGCCAAGGAGGTTTTACTGAGTTGAGCTGGATGATTAATCGTATCTGCATCAAGGACCACCAATTGCAATGTTCTTGCAAGTTCAAAAATCCTTTCAATTTCACTCTGAACTTCCGCTGTAAAGGGTGAAACGGTTCAGTTAAAGTGCAGTATTTTTAAGATAAAGTAAAATGGTATGCTGTTTCTTCAACAGAAAGGTGAGTAGGTCAGCCATTATGTTAATGCTTATAGGCAACAGAATTGATAAAAGTTTACAACAGTAATTTATCCTCTTAGAAAGGGCTCTTTCTCCACACATCATTAGGATGTAAGGAATTTTTCTCTCAACCGGCTGCAGAATTTACTTTTAGTATAATACTTGGATTGTGGAAATTTTTAGCTCTCTGCTGACATTCTTTGTGCTTCCACTCTATGAAATCATTTCATAAAACTGCTGTAAAATAAGAACCTTGAGCTATCTTCCATGTGTTCATTGCAGACCACATTGCACTAGCAACCATGACAAGTTTTCCTTTCAGTGCATGGGCTGATCTATGTTTACATGTCATCTGTATGCCGTCTAGATATGTTTATTAATAAGATGAAATACAAAATCAAACAGGAAAGACATGAATGGCACCAGTAACAAACTTATCCAAAAACACACCTCATATTTTCCAATCAGAGGAATACCCCTTTAGTAGTCACGCTTTAAAAGGGCAGTTTTCAGAGGCAGCACTACAGAAATCTAAAGTATAAAATTTGTAGAAACTTATCACAAAACATTTAAATATCTACTTGAACTCCAAGAAAATTACATTCAGTTCATTTACTGTTCCATGATCTCCAAAGAGTCAAAAACAGGACTGACAGAATTTTCTGCGATGAGGGAAATATCCTCTATATGTGATCCAGCGTGGCAACAGCTAATGGGCTACTGAGCATTTGAACTATAGCTAGTGTGAACAGGCAACTAAATTTTTAAAATTCAATAAATAGCCAGAAGCTACTATTACTAGGCAGCATAGGTCTATAAAGCAGAGTACATAGCTTACAGTTACCACTGCAGTCATGCAGGTTGAATTCCATGAGACTTTTATGCTAGCAAATGTGGATTTACAATTATGTTTTAATTCCTCTTAGGCAGTTTGATTCATGCCAGAAGCTTCCTGGAGATAATTTTAACTAGTACATTATTGAAGAAAAGGTATCTCTCTGGTCACTAATCCATCTGCCTCACGGTATGTTATGACTTGAGTCCTTTTGTTTACCTAGATATCTTTAAAAAATCAGGGCCCAAACTACATGAGATACTAGCTTTAAAATGACATTGGGCCACTGAACCCCAGTCAAGTTCCAACGTAAAATAATGTTTATTGTAAGAATTAAGAAATCTGATCACAAAGATTTTCATCTTTGTTTCATCTGTTAATAATAAGTGTTCAGATAGTCAGAGCATCCCATGTAACTCCTTGCTTTTAAAGGATTGAGCACTATTTTTATTGATTATAAGTTTAATATGTGTGTGTGTGTGTGTTTTTTTTTTGGAGACAGTCTCGCTCTATCTCCCAGGCTGAAGTGCAGTGGTGCAGTCTTGGCTCACCTCCGTCCGCCTCCCCAGTTTAAGTGATTCTCTCACCTCAGCCTCCCACATAGCTGGAATTACAGGCATGTGCCACCAGGACCAGCTAATGTTTTGTATTTTTAGTAGAGACAGGGTTTCACCATATTGGCCAGGCTGGTCTGAAACTCCTGACCTCAAGTGATCTCCCTCCTCAGCCTTCCAAAGTGCTGGGATCACAGGCATGAGCCACTGCGCCCGGCCCTAATATGTGCTCGTTGTATAAAATCTGGATAACCTTAAAAAATATTACATATACAGATATTATTTCTATTATGTCAATATATTAACATATGTTTTAATATATACACATATATAAAGATATTTCTAGTAGCCTTACATACATACTTTATACTCCTTTAATTAAAGGGAAAGATTTTTTAAAAGATTTTAAAGTGGACTTTCAGAATCCTGGTGGAACACCATATTAGTAGATACAACCTTAAGGATCAATGACAAATTCTGATAATACTTTTGACTTCAAAGTAAAAATGATGCTTTTAAAAAGGAATATATCCATGCATGGAATTTTCCTTTGACAGAGTATATCATGATCAGAATTTACTATAATAAAGAAATGTCAGAAACTCCCCCAATGTTTGTTTCTGAAACTGAAAGTCAATTTGATTCTTTTGAGTTGGCCTAGTGTCAGGCCTCTGAGCCTAAGCTAAGCCATCATATCACCTGTGACCTGCATGTATACATCCAGATGGCCTGAAGCAGCTGAAGATCCACAAAAGAAGTGAAAATAGCCTTAACTGATGACATTCCACCATTGTGATTTGTTTCTGCCCCACCCTAACTGATCAATGTACTTTGTAATCTTCCCCACCCTTAAGAAGGTTCTTTGTCATTCTCCCCACCCTTGAGAATGTACTTTGTGAGATCCACTCCCTGCCAGCAAAACATTGCTCCTAACTCCATTGCCTATCCCAAAACCTATAAGAACTAATGATAATCCCACCACCCTTTGCTGACTCTCTTTTCAGACTCGGCCCGCCTGCACCCAGGTGAAATAAACAGCCTTGTTGCTCACACAAAGCCTGTTTGGTGATCTCTTCACACGGACGCACATGACCCTAGGACCTCAGCATCTTGAAGAGGGGACAAGCTTTCCTCAACTCCCACTGTTTCGTATACCCACTGAATTAAAACAAACTGAAAAATGAATAATACCTTTCCATGCTTTATATCTCTAATATCTATAAACAACACCCAGGAAGAATCAATGTTTCCTCTAAGATACAGAGGAGAAGCTACAACACTGATCATGAGAGAAATGCAAATCAAACCACAGTGAGATTCCATCTCCCACCAGTTAGAATGGCTATTATTAAAAAGTCAAAAAATAACAGATGCTGTTGAGGTTGTGGAGAAAAAGGAACGCTTATACACTGTTGATGGGAGTGTAAATTAGTTAAACCATTGCGGAAGACAGTATGCCAATTCCTCAAAGACGTAAAGATAGGAATACCATTTGACCCAGCAATCCCGCTACTGGGTATATACCCAAAGAAATATAAATCATTCTGTTATAAAGATACATGCACGTATATGTTCACTGCAGCACTATTCACAATAGCAAAGATATGGAATCAAACTGAAGGCCCATCAATGATAGAGTGGATAAAGAAAACATAGTACATATACACCATGGAATACTATGCAGCCATAAAGAACAAGATCATGTCCTTCGAGGGACATGGATAGAGCTGAAGGCCATTATCCATAGCAAACTAACGCAGGAACAGAAAACCAAATACCACATGTTCTCACTTGTAAGTGGGAGCTAAATGATGAGAACACATGGACACATAGAGGGTAACAGTACACACACTGGGGCCTATCAGGGTGGGAGGAGGAGAAGACTCAGGAAAAATAACTGATGAGTACTAGTCTTAAAACCTGGGTGCTATGAACTTACTTAAAAAACAAAAAACAGAAGTTAACTTATTTAGAAGGAGGTTTCTGTAGTCAAACAATACTGTAATAATAGAGAGTGGAGATGGTTACTTTCATTGTGGCTAGTGTTGAGGGACACCTAAGTGGTCAGTTAGGAATTAAGACCTGGAGATACCTCTAGTATAAGTTATTTAATGCCATATGTGTTATTCCAATGCCATTTTCATAATTACTACACACAAAACTCTTAATTTTGACCAGTACCTGCCTTATCTTACAAAAAATCTGTAAAGCCTTCTCTAACTACCTTTCTCCCCACACTAGTAAATTCTGCTACTCTGTCCCCACTGCTACATATCAAAGTGACTTCGGGGGGCAGAAGTGAAGCGTCATCACTTCATAGAGCTGTAAGGTCATTGGGTAACATATTGAACCTCTTAGAACCTAAGTATTCTTATCTGTATTATGGAAATGAGGACTAAATGAATCCATACGCAAAGCTTCCCTTACAATTATTACAGTACTTGGCCTACAGTAAGTGCAGACAGTCCATGACTTACGATGGTCTGACTTAAAGATTTTTCAACTTTAGAGAGTGTGAAAGCAATATACGTACAGTAGGAACCGAACTTTGAGTCCCCATACAACCATTCTGTTTCTCACTTTTAGTATTCAACACATCACATGAGATACTCTACACTTTATTATAAAATGGGTTTGGTGTTAGATCACTTTGTCCAACTGCATTTTTTTTTTTTTGCATTTTTGTACTTTTTGCATTTTTATTATAATAAAATTACAGCCTCCTCCTTGGCTCACTCTTTACTCCTTGATCTGCTGCTTTTAGAATTCTCAACCACTGACCAACCATCTGTCTGTCTGTCTATATATACAAGATTTTGTCCATGTCTTCCTGTAAAACAAACACTCTGAGAAAGAGTACTTTGTGTCCTTTACTTTTGTGTCCCTGGCACCAAAATAATGCCTGGCACATCGTTGGTACTCAAGTATTTGCTAAATGAATGAATCCCTCTGGTCTGTACATGGTCACCTACCAACTTAAGAATAATCATATGGTTTGGCTGTGCCCACCCAAATCTCATCTTGAATTGTAGCTCCCATAATTCCCACGTGTCATAGGAGGGACCTGCTGGGAGGTAACTGAATCATGGGAGCAGGTCTTTCCCATGCAGTTCTCCTAATAGTGAATGAGTCTCATGAGATCTAATGGTTTCATAAAGTGAAGTTCCCCTGCACACGCTCTCTTTTGCCTGCTGCCATGTAAGACGTCACTTTGCTCCTTCTCCACCGTCTACCATGATTGTGAGGCCTCCTTAGCCATGTGGAATTGTGATTCTGTTAAACCTCCTTCCTGTATAAATTACCCAGTCTCGGGTATGTCTTTATTAGCAGTAATTCTTGTGAGCATCAGATGATGTGTGGAAAGAGTTTTAAGTGTGACAGATAAGGACATAAAAAAGGAAATTGCTATAAGCAAAACACATGATCACATTTTTTTTTCCTGTGAACAGACTAATACAAATAAGCTCCAAACTTTTCACATCTTACCCCTGCCTATCTCCCTGGTGTCATCTCACATCTCCCTCTTTTTAAAACCATATATTTTAGCTTAAATGAAGCACCTACGTTTTTCAGAAGACTGTAGTGGCTTTCACTGTCTCGAATCACTGTCACCCGTCTGCACACCTTTCCCTTTTTCTTGGCTAAATCCTGTCATCTTTAAGTCTCAGCTCAGGATCAGCTCCCTGGAAAAGCCTTTCCCTGTGCCTCCTGCAGCATCAGCTCTTTGGCAGCCAGTTCATGGCTGGACCACTTTGCTCATTACCCTCTATTCGATGGGCTCTTCAATGATTCGCCTTATGGCTACACCCAGCTCCTTGAGGGAAGGGGCTTCATCAGTTCATTTTTTTATTTGTGGGCTTTCACGTGATATTTGGCATCTAGTGTATGCTCTATGAAATACATAGACTGGAAAATTCATTTAAAAACAATGTATAATCAGTAGTTGCAAAAAAATCTTGGCAATCTAAGGAAATCTGTTAAGTAATTGATTCCACTAATGAGTCTAAAAAATTACCTTGACTTGGTTAATTCAGTTTAATCTATGAAATGAGCATTTTAATAATAATTCTTGGCCAGGTGCAGTGGCTCATACCTGTAGTCCTGGCACTTTAGGAGGCCAAGGCAGGGGGACTGCCTGAGCCTGGGAATTTGAGACCAGCCTGGGCAACACAGTCAGACTCCATCTCTTTAAAAAATTAGCCCGATGTAGTGGCATGTGCCTGTAGCCCCAGATACTCAGGAGGCTGAGGTGGGGGGTTTGATTGGGCCTATGAGGTCAAGGCGCAGTGAGCCCTGATCCACACTACTGTACTGCAGCCTGGGTAACAGAGTGAGACCCTCTCTCAAAAAAGCAAAATAAAAAGTAATTCTTGTGAGCATCAAATGATGTGTGGAAAGAGTTTTAAGTGTGACAGATGATAAGGACATAAAAAGGAATTGCTGTAAGCAAAACACATGATTACATTTTTTCCTCAAATATATTTCTAAACCTGTTACTGAAGTTTTGCCAATGAAGGGTTGTTAGGTGAGAAACAAAACTGAGTTCTATAATGTATCATGCTCATTGCTAACAGATAAAGCTTATTATTTATAACAGTTTTTCTATTATTTATATAATCATACTTCAGAGTAAATGAAGAACTTCTATGTTAGAAACCAGCCTCTCAGAGGATTTGTATATCTAACCTATAAACAGAGAAAAATTAAGCTCAAAGATCTGACACAACTCTCAGAAAGTTTACTTTATAAAAACAGAAACCCAACAATCCAATAAGCAACTTGTGTAACAGTGATTAACCTAAAACTCCAAGCACATACCAAAAAGATTAAATAGCAGCAGAAGGGTTTCAATTTGATCAATTCAGTACATGTTAATAAGCAGTATCCACATACCACCCTGTAAACACAATAACTCCCTACACTGTTTTTACAAATAAAACATATCGATATCTATCAATAAATATTTATTTATCAATAAATAAATAAAAATTGATTTCATCCTTTACCGATTTCCAAACACACAAATTATACTCTCCGAGTATGATTTCATTATTGATATACATCAGGAATTAAGGAATATTTAGCATAATAATGGCTATCATTTATTGAGCATGTATCATGTTTAATCCTTGCAATAATTCTAGGAGGTAGTTATTTCTTTTTTTAAGATGAGGAAATGGAAACTTCAAAAGGTTAATAAACTTGCTCATGGTAACACTGATGCAAAGCCAGGAGATCTTAGAGTCTGCAGACACGAAAGCTCACATTAGTGAAAACAAACCACAACCAAAACATTAATGCTGACAGCCTGTGGAATTCTTAACTTCAAACTATCATAACAAATCCTTCCACACCATGAAATCAGTAAGACCATAGCAACAGCTACTGGCAGCACACGCCTGTTTTTCCTATACTCTGTGACACATAGAATTATCATCTTGTTAGATCTTCTCATCATCAACATCAGGAGAGGAGAGTTTAAAAAGCGTAAGCTCATTGCACAGACTTACCTAAGCTTGACCTTGTGTTGGATCTTTCTATTATTGCGTGCTTACTGGGATTGTTTAATACTGAGCGTTTGGCAAGCGAGATGTCAGCGGTGACCCTTGTGATGGATATCCTGTTGGAGAAAAAAGTCACAGAAGACCCTAAGGTTATTGGTCTAATCAAAGGGCATAGAAGTATATGCCCCCAATTCATCTAAGTTTGAAATATATATAGCGACCATATTTTCAAACCATATGTGTTAGGATACTTACTCATTTTTTTTTCTTTTGACTTATTCATTTCTGTTTATCTTACACCTGCCTTACTTTGTTGTTTGTTTGTTTGTTTTGAGACAGAGTCTCGCCCAGGCTGCCCAGGCTGCAATGCAGTGGCGTGTTCTTGGCTGACTGCAATCTCCACCTCCCAGGTCCAGGTGATTCTCCTGCCTCAGCCTCTGGAGTAGCTGGGATTACAGATGTGCGCTACCACACCTGGCTAATTTTTGTATTTTTAGTAGAGAGGGGGTTTCACTATGTTGGCCAGGCTGGTCTCGAACTCCTGGCCTCAAGTCATCCGCCTACCTCAGCCTTCCAACGTGCTGGGATTACAGATGTTAGCCACCACACCTGGGCCTGTCCTGCACCTGCTTTACATTGCATTTATTGGTTGCTTACAAGTGTCAGATAAGTACTAAACACTTTATTTGAATTATTAAATCATCCAAAAAGCTCTAGGAGAAACATCTATTATTATCTCACTGTTGCTGATGAAGAATGAGAACCAGAGAGAGATTATTTATCCAAGGGTATGTACTTACTAAGTGGGAGAACTGGGATTTGAACCCAGACTCCTGACCCTATATTCCTAGCCTCTGTGCCATAGTTCAGTGCTGTGATAGGCATGAAGAATAAATAAGAACCGGTCTTCCCTCAGAGAGCTAATGGTCTAGTGGCAGAGATAAATAATAAAGGAAAATAATTAAAGATGATGATTGTTGTGGAAAGAACATACAGGGTATTATGAAAGACAATAATGAATTGGGAGTATCATTTTAGATAAGGTAGAAATGAGAGCAACAAAATTTGGGAGCTGGAAATAGCAAATGACTTAGACTGGAGAAAGCTGAATATTCAAGTCAGCAGTAGGAAAAAGCTGTGAAGCAAAATTGAAGGCTCACAATATTTCTAAAGAAGGTAGCAAATGAAGGTGGGGCGAAAAGGAAAGGTTTGGTTTAAAAGTCTGTTTCAGTTACAGCCCTCCACCGCCCCTTCACAATACTAAATAGCCAGGTGACAGTTCTTTTCCTGTGTGGTACAAGACCCCAGATTTGTTACCTTGCAGGCAATACAAGAGGGCCTCTGACCAGGAGACCCTAGACAGAACAGGAGCAGGGAATATTGGATGGAAAAGAAAGGATTCTGAATGTTGAGTCTTCAGCCTTTTTCCTCATTGCACAATTTTGGTAACCAGGCTTATATTTATATCCCCAGGGGTCAGAATGGATGATTCTTCTCTGGGGAATCTGACTGCCAAAGAGTAAAGACCCAAAGGTAATGATATTGGAGGTTTCCTATGTAAACTGTCTAGCAAGATTGCCATACACAGAAACACAAAGTTGACAAGCTCCACCTATGAGCACAGAACTTCTGATTAATTATTTTATGCTTTATTTTAAAATTCGAGCGCAGGACTTTTGTCAGGCATCTTCAGAAGACCTCTAACATGAGAGACCAAAACAAACAGAAAAATCAACTATGACAATTATTCATAGTTAAAAGCTAAGAGATGGTTTTATCTATGAAACTAGAACAAATTTATATTTAAAGACTTAGAATAAGAGCTTTTAGAAATAATGTGATAATAGAAATAGAAAAAAATCAAAAGAAGGGTTAAAAGAAAAGTAACATCTCCAAAGGGTAAAACAAAAGAGTTGGAAGACCGGAGAAGAAAGGTAAGAAAAGTAGAGATCACCCAAGAGGTTCAAATTCCAAATTACAGTAGTTCAGAAAAAGATAATAAAGAAGACAGAGGAAAGAAAATAAAGAATTAATTCCAGAATTAAGGGTCTGATTTTCCGAATTGAAAGAGTCCGGCACACGGGTTGAAAGATCCACACCAAGACGTATTTTTATAAATTTCATAACACTGGGGACAAAGAGAAACCCATAAGGTTTCAGAGGAAAAAGACAGGTCCCAAAGGGTCAAGCACTAGAATGCTTTGTACTTCTCAAAGCAACAATGGAGGCCAGAAGATAATGGAGAAAAAAGGCTTCAACATTTGAAAGGAAAACTATTTCAATCAGAATACCATAAGCATTTAAACTAGCAATTAAACAGAAAGGTTTGTAAACATTCAGGCTATTGAAAAAAACATGTATGTACTCTTCCTAGGGAAATTACTGGAGAAGGTTTTTGACTCAAATGACAGGAAAGCTTGAAAGAAATCAAGGGATCTGGGAAAGAGGAGCTTCGACCCAAAAGAAAGGTGAAAGGAATCCCCAAGGACATAACACAGAATGTTCCAGAATGACACCCAGCACAGAGAGAAACAGTCTAGACTGCAGCAGGCTAGAATGTCCCAGAGAGATTCAAATAGACAAACTGTAATTTTGGCTGGCTCCATATTTAATATTTATTGTAATTATGTAAATAATAGTCAAATGAACTATGTCATATAATGTGTGTGTGTGTGTTTAGACAGCATCTCACTGTCACCCAGGCTGGAGTGCAAGGGTGTGATCATAGCTCACTGTAGCCTCAACCTCCCAGGCTCAAGTGATCCCCCGGCTCAGCCTCCCAAGTAGCTGGGACTACTGGTGCATGCCACCACACCTAATTTTTTTTTTTTTTTTTTTTTTTTTTTTTAGTAGAAACAGGGTCTCATTATGTTGCCCAGGCTGGTCTCAAACTTCTGAGCTCAAGCAGTCCTCCTCCCATGGCCTCCTAAAGTGCTGGGATTACAGGTGTGAACCACTGCACCCAGCCTAATGTACTTTTTCTTGTGTATTTTCCTCGTGGTTTCCATGAGATAAACAACTTTTTACATTTGCTTAAATTTTTTTTTTTTTTTTTTTTAAAGACAGAGTCTCGCTCTGTCACCCAGGCTAGAGTACAGTGGCACAACCTTGGCTCAGTGCAACCTCCGCCTCCTGGGTTCAGGCGATTCTCCTGCCTCAGCCTCCTGAGTAGCTGGGATTATAGGTGCCCACCACTGCACCCAGCTAATTTTTGTACTTTTAGTAGAGACAGGTTTCACCATGTTGGCCAGGCTGGTCTCAAACTCCTGGCCTCAAGTGATCTGCCTGCCTCAGCCTCCCAAAGTGCTGGGATTACAGGTGAGAGCCATTGCGCCCAGCCCTGGGATTATTGATTTCTAGTAAGACTGTACTGCAGAAGATTCTGGCAATGGTATATTTATCCCTATAGCAATTCAGTATGCATTCCAAACACTTCAGGGCTGATTGCTGATGTTTTGAAAGTCACTGAATTAAAAAAAAAAAAAAACAAACAAAAGAAACTTGACTTTATCCCAGGTAGCTTTCCTTCTTGTTCTCAATTTCCTTGTTAATTTACCTGTCACCATCCTACAAGGTGAATCTGAAGATTGCTTTGTTTACATGACACAGTTGGTTACTGTGAATCGAGTTTTAAATGGGCTACTTTATTACACACAACAGAAGGAGGAGAAGGATTTATTTCTTCTTTGATGTGACACACTGACACTACTTAACCAGAATGTGATTCTCACAAGCCCCCAGGGCTTCTGCATATGAATATAAGTGGGTTTCAGAAAAGAAAAGGAATTCTTGACTACTTAGAACCTTTTGCATAACTAACATTTCCTTTCATATTTTCTCCTCTTGGGCTTAAACTTTAAAAAAAATAAAATAAATTTAGCTTATTTAATAGATGATTAAGGAATAATTCATTTTTCTCTTTTAGAATGTCATGTGTGCATACACACCTGATGCTTTTGATGAATTTTCATCCTCTACTGCTGTCTTGCCTTGCTAAAAGCAAAAACAGTCAATAATTCAGTTACTCTAGATGTCTTGCCATGGGTAAAAATGTTAAATTTGTACGTGGCTTTTCAAGTCTGCCTTACCGACTCGTTTCTTCCTCTGAGGACTGTTAACTGGGGACAACAGGGCTAGAATATTGAACCCCAATCTCTATAAGTCAAGATGAGCCAAGACAGGTCTATTAAACCATACGGAAATTACTTCTGGCTAGAAAAAAAACAGATACTTTAAGATATTTTGTTCATCTGTTTCTTAAATAAAACCAATCTGGGTGGTTGATACACTTGAACATGGGTCCAAAATCCACCCTCTCTGGCTGGAATGTGTCTTCCAAGTTCAAAACTTACTCAGGTTTAAGTACAAGTTGTAATCCAGGAAATTCCATCCCATTTCCCCATCTTTGGCATTTAGGAAAGGGCAGTGGGTTGACTCAGGCATGGAAAACACAATGCCTTTGTTAGCAGAATTTTTTTAGTGTTCAGGCTCATTTGACAATTCCAAATTGTGATAAATGACAGAGCCAAGGATAAAGAAACAAAAGCTAAATGGAGCGGATTAGAGGTACGCCTTTTATATTTGGCCAGTGTCTGGTAGCCTTGGTCCAAGCTAAAGGTTCTATGTTCCTGGCACAAACTGAAAAAATATTTCTTAAAGATATGGAAAATTTAAAAATCTAATTAGGAATATTTGGTTATGAAGTCCTTGATTATAAAGCCTTTTCATACCTTGAAACTTATAATAGTTTTTGTTTTCCTCATTCTCTCCTTTCAGTTCTTTGCCTGATCACTTTTTTTGTTGTTGTTTTGTTTTGTTTTTGGTTTTTGAGACAGAGTCTCACTCCGTTGCCCAGGCTAGAGTGCAGTGGCATGATCTCGGCTCACTGCAACGTCCGCCTCCCGGGTTCAAGCAATTCTTCTGCCTCAGCCTCCCAAGTAGCTGGGACTACAGGCACCCGCCAATGCGCCCAGCTAATTTTTGTATTTTTAGTAGAGACAGGGTTTCACCATGTTGGCCAAGCTGGTCTTGAACACCTGACCTCATGATCCACCCACCTCCCAAAGTGCTGGGATTACAGGCGTGAGCCACTGTGCCCAGCCTGCTTGGTCACTTACTAACAATACTTGTCCTCCTACAAGTTTCCCTCCTGCCCTTGCATCCCCTGCCAAAAGTCAATATAAATTAGAAATGGTTGTAGTAGTAGGTGTGGTCTAGAAAGAAAGTACTATACTAAGAAATGTAAAAGAATCCTGAAACCAACAAATACTAGCTACTGCAGCAGTCCCCAACCATTTTGGCACCAGGGGCCAGTTTCATGAAAGAATTTTTCCATGGACCGGTTCAGTCGGAGTGGGGAGATGGTTTGGGGATGATTCAAGCACATTACATTTATTGTGCACTTTCTTTCTATTATTATTACATCAGAATAGATAATGAAATGATTCTACAACTCACCCTAATGTAGAATCAGTGGGAGCCTGAGCTTGTTTTCCTGCAACTAGATGGTCCCTTCTGAGGTTGATGGGAGACCGTGAAAGAACACCAGACATTAGACTCTGCTAAGGAGCGTGTAACCTAGATCCTTCGCATGCACAGTTCACAGTACAGTTTGTGCTCCTATGAGAATCTGATGCTGCTGATGATCTGACAAGAGGCTGAGCTCAGGCAGTAATGTGTGAGTGATGAGGAGTGGCTGTAAATACAGATGAAGCTTTGCTCACTCCCCTGCCACTCACCCCCTGCAGTGTGGCCCCTAACAGGCCATGGACCAGTACTGATCCGTGACCCAGGGGTTGGGGAGTCCTGATCTATTGTAGTTGCATTGTTAGGATGGGAGGAGGAAAGGAATGTGGAGAAGAGAAGCACTGCATTTATCTGGTTAAAAATACAGAAATATACACTAGCCTGTGTGTTCCAGGTCCCCTGTAATAAGCTACTCTTAAACTTTGAGGTTTCCATTTTGGACTCTAGTCATGTCTTTGATGCTTCAGGAGCTGGCTTAACATTCAATGATGGCACCCATCAATTATTTGATTCAAGACTGACTTTCAATAGACTTTAAGCTTCACAAAGCCAAGGCCCTTGTCTATTTTTGCTCCTCACAATGCCTGGCACACAGAATATACTCAATAAATATTTACTGAGGCAAGTTGAATAGTGACGGGGGAAGAGGAGGAGAGAGAAAGGATTAAGTCCAAGCCCATTGGCGTGACACACTAGATATAACCCTTGGGTTTGTTAACGGTCACATCTTGCCCAGGTCCTTAAGATCTGGGTGTGAGTTGCCTTACACATAATGCTGTGTCATACCTCAAAACCTTCACACACTATATACCATCTGCTGAACATACCCTTCTCTCCCCTGTAATCCATTTGGTCAAATCTTAGGCACCATTTAAAAACTCTTCCAGGATGTGGATGTCCTTAAGTTGGTGTTAATTACACCTCCCTTTATGCTACCTGTACCTTATGCATGCATATACCAGGTTGCCCTTTTACTTATATTCAGTGTTACTGCTACAGGTTTCAATTTATGGTTTCTATGAGAGCTCTTCATAGGGAGAGACTGGCTTCACCATCTCTGCATTTCTCTAGCAGAGAGTATGCAGCAGACATTCATTCAAAATTCATCTGGCCACTGCTCATGTTGAGTACTGCTCCAGGCACTGAGAACACAACAGTTCACAAAACATTCTCAAACCCTGCCCTCATAGAGTTTATCGTCTAGTTATGGGAGAATGACAATAAACAAAAATAGTACTGGAAATACATAAAAGAGCACTAGAAAACAAAGTCAGGGAAAGGAGAGACACAGAATGAATGTGTGCATGTGTGCATACGTGTATGCACTTATACCAAGAAGAATATCTGAGGGAAAAGTGTTCCTGCAAAAGGAACCGCAAAGTGCCAAGGCCCTGAGGTGATTGTGTAATCTGTCTGGAACACTCATAGAACAGCAACAGAGTAAGTACAGCAGGGTGAGAATGAGTGAGGGAAGAGCAGCAAGAGAAAGTCTAGGTACGGTTGTGTGCAAGAATAGACCATAGGAGGTCAGATAGGCCACTGTAGGACTTTAGTTTCTACTCAGATAAAAAGAAGTCATTGGATGGTTTTGAGTAAAGGAGTGGTGAGCACTAGCTCACATCTTAACAGGGTCATGCAGCAGCTGACCTGAGCACAGTCTTTAAGGAAACAACCACAGAAGCAAGGAGATGAGGCGGGAGGCTGTTGCAACGATCCAGGGAAGAGATGAAGATGTCTCAGACCAAAATAGTGGCAGAGGATGTGTGAGAAGGGCTTCGATTCTGAATAGATTTTGAAGATACAGACAACACCATTTGCATGTGAAATATAACAGAAAGAATAGTCAAGGATAATGATCTGGGCTGAAGGGTGTCGGGACTGAAAGATAAGCCATTAATTGAGATAGGGAAGACCATAGGAGGAGTAGGTTTTGGGGGAGGTTACGTTTGAAAAGTCCATTTAGACATCTTAGTAGTGATAATGAATAGGCAATTGTATACATGGGTCTAGAATTTAGAGGAAAGACTGGCAAAGGAATGGAATTTAAAAATCTGATGCTGAATGAAATCACTAAAGGAATGTAGATAGAAGACATCAAAGAATTTAGCCCTGGGCTGTCCAAGATTTCCAGTTGATGAGGAAGTACCAGCAAAGCAGAGAAAGGAGTAGTCAGTGTGACAGAAGGAAAACCAGAAAAGTGTGGTTCCAGAAACCAAACAAAGTATTTCAAAGAGGTGGAATAATCCACCATGTTAACTATTGTTCATGGTCAAGTAAGATTCTGGCTGAAAATTTATCCCTGGATTTAGCAATGTGAAGGTCATGGGTGATCTTGACTAGTTTAGCTGAGTGGTGTGGGTGAAAACATAACTGGGGTAGGCTGAAGAAAGTGGAAGGAAAGCCAGTACACTCAATTCTTTCAAGGAATCTTCCTGTAAAGAAAAGAAAAAAAAAATGACACACCTAGAGCAATATGAGGTCGAATGTGAGAGGAAGTAACATTTTTACATGGTGATGGAGTTTCCATTAGAACAGGAAATACTGATGAGAAGAGAGCAAAGGATGATTACGGCTGTGTATGGATACTTCTAGCAGAGAGGGGATGGGGAATGAGATCCAGTACCCACATGGTGGGTTGGCCCTTGCTGGGAACATAGTCATTGGAGATAAAGCAGAGCACCCAGGCAAACATGCAACTCCACAGGCAGAGTTGTGGAAATGCCTGGATGTTCTCCTCCATTTGCCTTTATTTTCTCAATGACACAGGGAGGCAAGTTCACTGGGGGATCGTGAGATGAGAAGGGGTTAGCAGAGCTTTAAGGAGGGGGAGATGACACAGAAGTCTTTTAGAAGAGTGGAAAATTGAATGGAAAAGGGATATTTAGTGCAATCCCTGGGCAGCAATAGAGGGCCAGTTGACCATGCATTGAGGATGAGACCGGCCAGTGGTGTCCTGCCCAAGGTCTGCTTATGGATGCAGGTACAGGAACTAGACATCAAGGGTTAAGGATGTACAAAGCAAATATGATAAATATTGATTGAATCAGATTAAATTGAGTGAAACTTATTTCCTGTCATTGTATAGACATCAGAGGGCTGTTTTCTCTTGGAATCACATGCCTGTCCCACCAGGGTTTTGCTATCTTTAAGACAAAATCCACAAAACCCAGTATGCTGAAATACTCACCGCCCTTCAAATCTGTGTTTTAAAAAATCAAACAGCGCTTTTTGCATCATATCTGTGACCTGCAATTGAGCAAGGAATAAATTAAGATACGACCAAAAAAAATTACTAATGATGATAAAATAATTTTACTTCTCTCAGGAACACTTGAAAACCTGAGCTTTGCATTTGGAAAGAGTGGCAATATGAGGTTGCCGCATTTTTCTGCTTCTGATGCAATGACAATTAAACTGAACTTATCATGATATTTTAGGGACAAGACTGCAAGTGGTTTCAGTCGGTCTCCATTTGACACTATTTTCTGGACTGAGTACATTGCAGCTAGCAGAAATCTTCAAAGCAACAGCCAGGTAAACAAAACAGAAAAAGGACGAAGCAGTGTATTCCACAGCTTGCAGAACAACATGCTTTGCTGCTATGAGCTCTCTAAGCTCTAAAGTTGGCTCCTTAAGCTTTAAAATTCAGAGAGAGGGTCAGGAGTAGGAGGCAGCATCACAAAGAAGTTAAGCATGCAAAAGTCAAGCTTCTGTTGAAGGCTGCTACCCACCTCATAGCCCTTCAGAGAAGGGCCTACTAGGACCACTGGTCGCATGGAAGGTACCACATCATATGGAGGAGTGTGCTCTGTCTGCAGAGAGAGGAGAGGCTTTAAGACGTTTCACAGGCAGGTGGAACATAAATATTTTATGTATAAGGTACTCTTTCTGAACTCTGTAATATGAGGCACTGGCTTTCCAGACATTTTTTTTCCCCCACTTGTCTCTTTTCTACATACACCCAATCAAAGATTGGTGGGTTCATTTTCCTAAAGTTTCAAGTTAATGTTGTCTACAGTTTTCTTGCTCATCTCAAGAAATGCTACAGACCTATTCGTTCCTAAAGCAAGAGATGCTGCTTTTGAACAAAAACTAGTTGATAGAACAAAGAGAAACATGCCTCATGCAAGATAGGTGCTTTAGGCTTGACTAGAAGTTAATATTGCTTTTTGGCTGCATTTGAATTTTCTAAAGAGTTGTAGTGATTAGACCTAATATGGTTAATTACAGAGGAAAGAAAGATTTCATTACCTTTGCATCTTACGTGTTTGTCTTACCTGTGTAAAACCTAATTTCAAAATATTGTAACTCTCACTACCAATACTTTTTACCTACTCTCAAAATATTGTAACTCTCACTACTGTCAAAATTCTATTTTATTGCGAGAGTGTAAATGAGCATGCATGCTTATTCTAGTAAACAGTAATCATGATCCCTGCTCACAGCTTAGAGATCAATGCTTTTGGATTTTTTGATTTCTATACCTTGGTACTTCAAAGGTAAGGTTTATGTGTCTTCGAGGGTAGGTGATTAATGTATAATAATATATTCAACCATGCTATAGTGGTCTCAAAAGGTTCATTATCAATGTGCGTATCTAATATGATTCTCAAAAGTAGTGTTTCTGTTAGATAACAGATCATGTCTTTCTGCAGTAATTTCTTTTTAATAAGAGGGGAGGAGCTAAATTTTGTAGCAATTTCTAAAACTATCAACACTTTTCAGGTTAATTGCTTCAAATAAAATGGTTAAATAACATCTTTCAAAAATTAAGTAACAGCTAATTGGTTTATATTAAAATTAACCCTTTTGATAGCATAAAATATCAAATTGACCCAAAGATGACTTTTTAAAAAAGAATGCAGAAGAGCAATATGCCCTTAGACACAGGGATAAGCAAATCATTGCTATATGAATCTTCCTGGCTAAGGAGTGTCAAAAAATATAACTTGAGAATGACACACACCAACAGAAAAATGTTCTGTAAACGAATTTAAGAAATCAATACACTGATGTGCAGATATGAATGTCATTTTTCCATCTGCCCATCACTCAAGAACATTTTATTGTTGCTTAAAATTGCCCATTACAAACTTTTCTGGCTTCATTTGAATTCACATTGCCTCAGGGGGGAATTAAAAAGCATTTCAAATTCAAAAGCTTCCATCTAAGATATCACCCGTAGTCATAGACGATATAATCAGAGGGGTAAAAAATATTACCATGACTATGCTGTCAAATTTCACTGCCTAAAATTTCATCTAGCATTCAGAATTCATTTTAATTGACATAATCAAGGTAGAATACAGTTTTGAACAGAAAAAAAAAAAACAAGACCAACATAATATAGTGACAGCACACATATACCACACAAGCATCACTCTAAAAGCAACCTAAAACACAGAAAACAATCTTCTCATTGAATCTTAGGCCATTGTTTTGCTTTTGAATTCTACATTGATTTTAACCACATTATTAATAACATAAGAAGAATGAATACCAGTGCCGAAGGCATCATAAGCATATTTCTTAAATTATTTCATGTCTACCACCTGGGATCATACTGAAAATGTTTAGAAGCCAAGTCCTTATAACTATGCGGTGTAAGAACACCTTTTCCACCGTTGAGATTAGGAATGTAAATTTCCTGCATTTTAGTAACAGCTACCAAGAAATTTTATCTCAAGACTTTAATTCTGAAGTGGCCCAGTGTTTGATAGGTCTTTGGTTCCTTCGATCTATAACTTCCAACTAGCAAAGGATCACCCATTGCTGGTGATCAATCAGCTTCTTAATCAATAGGGTAGCTACAGAAATTACCTTATTTGATGGAATATTGGTGCGTTGTGCCCTATGAAGAATGACACCATCATTTTTATCTACTCTTTCCTGTTAACCCTATTTAGCTGACTTTTTTGTGGGGGGAGGGGGAGACAGAGTTGTCTAGCTGTGTTGCCCAGGCTGGAGTGCAGTGGCATGATCTCGGCTCACTGTAATCTCCACCTTCCAGGTTCAAGCAATTCTTCTGCCTCATCCTCCCAAGTAGCTGGGATTACAGGTGCCCGCCACCATACCAGGCTAATTTTTTGTATTTTTAGCAGAGACGGGGTTTCACCGTGTTGGCCAGGCTGGTCTCAAACTCCTGACCCCAGGTGATTCACCTGCCTCAGTCACCCAAAGTGCTGAGATTACAGGTGTGAGCCATTGCGCCCTGCCTGCTCAAATTATTGAAAAAAATTGTGATAAACGTTTTTAAAGTTTTAGCATTTAAAGGTAAGCAAACTTCAAAAACCTATCTTGACAAACATGGTTTTAGTTCACATTCCTGCTCTGTCAAGTCCAGAATGTCTTAGCGATGCCAATTTTCTAAGCTTCTGAATGATGGACACTGTTAGTCGCTTGGCTGCAAGCTTTAGCTATAACAAGAAGATCAGACCTGAGAGATGGGCCCACTGTTGTGGATGAACATCAAGCTGAGGCTTCTGTGTTAACGCAAATTTCCAAGTGTTGCAAATTTGGCCTGGAGCGCTGAAGTTTTCCCTTGTTAAAGTAGTCATAGCTGATTCAAAAAAGCCAACTTTACAGTTCACTATCTGACACCTCATTAATGACTTTAGAGTTCCTCCACAAACCAAAATACTTGTTTGCAGAGGAAAAGTGTTCATTATGTGGAGAGTTTGAGGGCAGAGGATAGACAGACTTGACATCACATCTGCGTGTGAGAATATATCCACGGTTTTTCCAGACTTGGCGACATTAGTATGACTCTAAAAGACAGCATGGTAGCTGTAGAAACTGATGGGTCAAAGAGGGAAATAAAAGGGAAATTTGGGGGGAGGGTAGTGGTCCTTAAAAAATAATGCCATGAAGCTACAAAATAGGTAAGAGGAAACAGGCTTTGTCTGAAGTAACGAGAGCTCAGAAATACCCTATAGTTTCCATGTAGGGGACAAGGAGCCTCACTATGTAGCATCTTGGATGGCCAATGGCAAAGGCTCTACGCGTGACCACTGGCTGCACTGTCCAATGGGTGAGATGCTAAAATCTGACTGATGGAGAAGGCAAGAACATGGGGAGAATATTTATATATGACAATAGGAAAAACTCACAGTAAACCGCCAAAACAAGCCTGCAGTTTTCCACTGGTCTTGTTCATCTGCAGATTTTGCACCTAGTGGATTAGAAGTTTAAATACTGACTAAATTAAAACTTGAATACTTTTGTTTAGTACAAGCTATGTATCTGGATATCATAAGTCAGAGTTTAATAACTTCTTTAATATGTTTGATCATAAGTTAAATTTCTGGATAAAAGAAAGAGACAGACAGAATAAGCATGCACAATTTAGGTGCATTATGTGGAGCTGTCAGTGTTTGACATCCTTGAATGTTGAAACAAATTCCCTTGGTGGTAGATATTATTCCATCAAAAAGGATAAGTACTGTAATAGTGTTTTAACAGGTCACTCCCTGAATTTAGTTGGTTTGAAATGCATGAACTCAATTAGCTGTTGATAAGTTCTTTGCTTGGGACAGAAATGATTGTATTTAATACAACTGTGGGAATTAATGCTAATGATGCCAGTGGCAGGATAAACACAGCTTATGTCAATGTAAACTTACCGATTTCTGCTTCTGCTTAGCTACAGCAGCGTGGAAAAGAAACAAATAACAGAGCATGCACGTTATTGGCTTGTCAAAGGACGCAGACAGTCAACAGGACTAGAAATGTGACGCAGTGCAGTTGAGCAGGTGGACAATGGGAGCTTGGAAGTTAATGTTACCTTCTTAAAGAAGGGCATTCGTTTCTCTTTGGAGTGGGGTGACGTTACACTGTTTGCACTGGGTTTAGGGGAGCGGTGGTTTGCTGGAATATCATTTTCTTCTGCATCTAAGCCAGTAGCATCTATGTCTACAGCTATATACAGACAAACAGTTCAAAAATCAGGTGGACAGGAGAGGAAAAATAGGTTATAAAGAAAATAAAATGAAAGCAAATAAAACTAACCATAGTAAAAAAAAAAAAAACTATCATGAATACTCAACACAGTACGCAAAGAAAATAAAATTTAAAGGTAAAGCACGTTAAGAATGCAAGGTAATCAAATCTAATGAAACTGAAAGATACCCTTATAACCTGTTTGCTTGAATGAATCAGTTTCATGCTAGATCTCTTGAATATTTTCAGAGAAACATTTTAAATCTGTAGTTTCAAATATAATGTTGATATTCTCTGTATCAACTATATAAAAGTGCAGTACAGGACATTTGACTTCAGATCTTACAATATCTTAAACCAGCTTTGAGATAACAAGTGACTAGTTTAAAAACCTTTATTATAGGTGAATGCAAAAGTAACTGCGGTTTTTGCATTGTTGGAATTTGCCATTTGATATTGGAATACATTCTTAAATAAATGTGGTTATGGTATACATAATTTTAATGGGCATTTCTCGTGTTATGCATTTTTTGCTAATGACTTATTACTTGCTGTTAATGTGTATTTTAGACTATGGAAATGATGTCAGACAAAAAGCGAATTTGAGTGACTTTCTTATTTTAGTTCAAAATGGGTCGTAAAGCAGTGGAGACAGCTTGCAATATCAACAATGCATTTGGCCCAGGAGCTGCTAATGAACGTACAGTGCAGTGGTGGTTCAAGAAGCTTTGCAAAGGAGAAGAGAGCCTTGAAGATGAGGAGCAGAGTGGCTGACCATTGGAAGTTGACAACGACTACTCGAGAGCAATCATCAAAGCTGATTCTCTTACAACTGCACGAGAAGTTGCTGAAGAATTCAACATCGACCATTCTATGGTCATTCTGCATTTGAAGCAAATTAGAAAGGTGAAAAAACTCGATAAGTGGTGCCTCATGAGCTGAGCAAAAAAAAAATTGTTGTTTGGAAGAGTCATCTTCTCTTATTTTATGCAACAACAATGAACCATTTCTCAATCAGATTGTGACAGGCGACGAAAATTGGATTTTATAAGACAACCAGTGACAACCAGCTCAGCTGTTGGACTGAGAAGCTCCAAAGCACTTCCCAAAGCCAAACTTGCACCAAAAAAAAGAAAGGTCATGGTCACTGTTTGGTGGTGTGCTGCCAGTCTGATCCACTCTAGCTTTCCGAATCCCAGCGAAAACATTACATCTGAGAAGTACGCTCAGCAGATGGATGAGATGCACCGAAAACTAGAATGCCTGTAGCCAGCATCGGTCAACAGAAAGGGCCCAATTCTTCTCCATGACAACTCCCAACTGCACGTTGCACAATCAGCTCTTCAAAAGTTGAATGAATTGGGCTACGAAGGTTTGCCTCATCCACCATATTCACCTGACCTCTCGCCAACCGACTGCCACTTCTTCAAGCATCTCGACAACTTTTTGCAGAGAAAATGCTTCCACAACCACCAGGATGCAGAAAATGCTTTCGAGAGTTTACCGAATCCCAAAGCATGGATTTTTATGCTACAGGAATAAACAAACATATTTCTCATTGGCAAAAATGTGTTGATTGTAATGGTTCCTATTTTGATTAATAAAGATGTATTTGAGCCTAGTTATGATTCAAAATCCATGGTCCAAAACCGCAGTTACATTTGCACCAACAATACAATGTGCAAAAAAAGATTTTTCTTTTTGCAGATTTTGTGTAAAATTAAGGACAGTGTGAAAAGTTTCACTAAAATTGCAACAGACATTTGAGAGAAAGAGAGAATGGAAAATTCTTAATCCAGTCAATGCAAAGGAGTCATACACAAGGCCAGTGATTCAGGGAGGGCTCCAGGAAGGACAGGATTAAAACGATTTTAGGCTGATTAAGACTAATGGGAAAACACTGGGACCCAAGATATCTGAATGAAATCAGTCTAATAAAATGACACTGGAAGACTTCTGGTGACTTATGCAAAGCCACTGGGTTTAACAAAAGAGGCAGAGTGAAAGGGCACGAGGACCCAGGAGGATATGCCACTGGTTTCCTCATCTGTAAAATGAAGGGTTTAGCTTTGTTGCTTGACATGCTTTTACTTTTCCCATTGTTCCACCTGAAAATACAGTACTTAAAAAGTGTTACAAGAAAAAAAGATGCATAATCTCACTTCAAATTTTACAAAATGCTTCCACGTGCAACCGTAATAGCTACAGAATTTTATCAACTGCAGAATCAGAGATGGAAATACTTTAAAGATCAACTTCAATGCTCTTATTTTTAAGATTAAAAAACTCAAAATTTAAGGGACTTGTTCTTGGCAAAAACTCGGCAGTCAGGATTCAGACCTACTCCTCCTGTGTGAGTCTATAACCCTCTGTATACCACACTGCCCACCAAAGTGAGCCTGTAACCGTCCCTATACCACACTGCCCATCCAGGCGAAGTCCCTTCTCAATCAGGGTGCCCTCTTTCAGTTCCCTTCACATCCTGAATGGGGTCATGTCCTTGGTGTCAGGATTCAGGATGACATCATAGAGCTGGGCTAGCTAGAAAATTATTCTATGATTAAGAATCAGTCAAGGAGAAGAAAAAAAAATTTACTCACCCCAGGAAAGCATCACATTATACATGTTAGCTCTCTAACAAAAACCACGGTACATTTAGATTGAAGGAAGGAACAAATTACCACTTCGAAATAACAGACAGCTTGGTGTTACAATACAGCTACCATTCCCTGTGATACACAAGCTGAACTGCTCAAAACAGTTCTAACCTTTTCAAAGGATGGGAGATCATCTGACAGGCATCACATTATTTTTCGGTTTTGAAGTTGTTATGGATATTAAATACCAGCCGTTTGAAAACTAGGATCTCTTATTATTCCTTTTCATTTGATTAGGTAGGAAACCTGTGATGGAGTGAATACCTGCCACTGTTTGTACACTATTACAAATATCAGCTATTGCTTGCATAATGCAGGAGGTGTGATTTTCTATCAAAAGAAGGTAATAATGGCCTGAATTAATTCCAAATAGGTAGACTTAACATAGTAAGTAGTATGTTTTCTTCTTTGCCCCATCTATGCATACTGATGTGCTAAAAGGTTTAGCATGTGGTATGTAGGGAAAACATAAAATGTGCCTAGGGGTTTAACCAATGCTGACTTGTATACCATCCTATAGCTAATCCTTTGCTCATATAGGAAAGTTTCCTTATGGGGCTTATGGAATGGCATAAGCCAGGAAAGAGTCTCAGAAAAGTCTTCAGGAATGGTTTTCCTTGAATCTCAACTCAAGCAGCATGTTGTTAGTGCTTTCCTGGATATGAAGGACAAGATCTGGGTCAGGATTTCATTATTCCTACAATACATGTTAACCAAAATCAAGAGTTTCCTTTCTGGTGGTAAATTCCCATATGTTTTATCTTTCTCATCTTTTATTGGGCTTATAAAGACCACATTCAAGGGACAGTACCCTTTGAGGGCTTTTCTAAAATTGAAGATAACCAATTAGATGTCAGAATTTACAGGACCCTGGGATGGTCACATTCATGAGTTGGACTTTGTGATTTGCCCATTGAATCTAGCCTTCTGTGATCACCAGGTGTATTTTTGTTTTTTAAAGAAAGGGTGAGGCTGGGCGTGGTGGCTCATGCCTGTAATCCCAGCAGTTTGGGAGGCCAAGGTGGGCAGATCACCTGAGGTCGGGAGTTCGAGACCAGCCTGGCCAACATGGTAAAACCCTGTCTCTACTAACGATACAAAAATTAGCCAGGTGTGGTGGCCGGTGCCTGTAATCCCAGCTACTTTGGATGCTGAGGTGAGAGGATCACTTGAACCTGGGAGGTGGAGGTTGCAGTGAGCTGAGATTGTGCCACTGCACTCCAGCCTGGGTGACAGTGAGACTCCATCTCAAAAAAAGAAGAAGGTGGAAATGCATAAATCTTTGGCTGCAACATTGCCCAGGTGTTTGGCTTTCCACACACATAGCCTGAGTCAGGTTTGAAATTTACCTGTATCTGGACATGAGGACTGGAAATCCAAATTGAGAACTTTCTATAATTTACTAGTTCTGACATTTGGTTAACTCAGGTCTAAAAACATCTTGAGTTCATTCTGAAATATGTAGAATTCTGAAACATGTGGTCACTTTCAAAACATACTATAGAAACTTATCAAGACAGTTAAGAAGCATTTTCAAATCTGTTTGGCTACATGCATTGTATTAGACTCGGATGGTTCTCCTTTTTATAAGAGATGTTACCTTTTTTAAATTTCATACTTCTATTTCCATACTTTAACAAACATTAGTATTTACTTGGAAAGAACTGCTTTCATATATTTGAAAAGTCTCATTCCTCACTAGCATGCATATTATTATTATTAGTGATAGAAAGCCTTGGGAACATTCTATCTATCTATCTATCTATCTATCTATCTATCTATCTATCTATCTATCTATCTATCTATCTATCTAAGACAGGGTCTCCCTCTGTTGCCCAGGCTGGAGTGCAGTGACATAATCATGGCTCACTGTAGCCTCAACCTCCTATACTCAAGTGAACCTCCTACCTCAGCCTCCCAAGGAGCCGGTACTACAGGCACACACCACCATACCCAGCTAATTTTTTTTTTTTTTAAAGAAATTGGGCCTCACTACATTGTCCAGGCTGGTCTTGAACTCCTGGGCTCAAGTGATCCTCCTGCCTCAGCCTCCCAAAGTGCTGGGATTACAGGCGTGAGCCATGGCACCCAGCACATTGTTTTGAAATTTAAGTTTTGGTCTTAAAGGCTTGGGTCAAGTTAAGCAGAGCTTGGGGTTGAGACGTATGTACGCATGTGTGTGTGGGTGCGATGTACGTGTTCTGCAACTGGCTATGACACCATTGCCCAGATGTCAAGTGGGAAATTTTCCAAGTTCTTGACAGCATCCAAACCTATATACTTTAGGTAGATACTTATATTCTTTGGTCTGGCAATGGGTGAGGGGAATAGTAGACAGGACCTCTAGAAACAAGATGAAAATGATCATTCCAGGCCCATCCACACTTGATAGCTGGAGCAGTTGTGCCTGGAGGTGGATTGGGAGAACTTCTCTTTAGAGCTCTCTGAAGGTTTCCTTTAAATCAGTTGAGCTATTGATATAAAAATTATCTCAGAGTCCTGATATGCTTATTATACATTTTGTAGTTGGTTATAGCTCCAATTGACTCAGTCACCAGAAAAGTCACTTGAAAGTTGGTGTATCTCTACAAAACCTTGGTGAACATTTAAATCACCTTTTTAAATATTGCACTCTTCATGGAACTTTACTTTTAGTAATGTCAAACGTCTGCCTACAAAATGGAATGTTATTTTACAAGTATATGAACTTGTTCTTCAAAATGCATGCACCTCCTTTCATTATACAGACGGTCCTTGACATACAATGGTTCAACTTAAGATTGTGCAAGCTTATTACGAATTTTTCAGGACATAACTTCATCAGAAGTCAAGGAACGTCTGAACTTTACAATGGTTCGACTTAGGACTTTTTACTGGGTCTGTCCACATGTTAAGTGCATTTTGAGTTACGATATTTTCCATGTATGAAGGGATTATTGAGGTGTATCTCTATCATAAGTGTAGGAGCATCTGTGTTGCCAAAACCACTGGAGGGCTACAATATGGCTGGAGGGAATGGAAGAATTTTTCTGATATATAGAAAGAAGTGAGGCTGACATTTGCGGGCAGAACTGCTGCTTTATCGCAAGGTGACATAGTCTTTTTCCATTTTAGGAGCCTAGTAGCAGTCCCTAGAAATCACCGAAATTGTCTTTGAGATATGTAAGAAGAGTGTAAGGTTTATATAGGAATCCCTGCAACTTCACACATCTGAGAAGGAGCAGGATAGGCCTCCCTTCCTCTGTGGATTCAGGGGCTCCTTAATTATCAAGGGAAGGTATAAGCTTCACATAATACCTACAGGGGCTTTCATTTGCATTTCATGCATACTATTTTACTTAATTTTGAGCATCTTAGAATTGCTTGCTTCAAGTTATAAGTAGGTAGGTTTTGAATTAATTTGTTTCCTAAAGCAATTCATTTATTGTGCTCAGATTTTGCTCACTTAAAAAGTCCTATGTTACTGTGTAGAACTGGGAATTCCAAATAAACAGGAGACCAATGGTTTGAATTGCAAAGAAAGCCCATGATCAATATCTTAGTTTGCTAAATGGCTGGGCATGCCTGTCATCCCAGCAGTTTAAGAGGCTGAAGAAGAGGATCCCTTGAACCCAGCAGTTTCAAGACCAGCCTGGGCAACATAGTCAGACTCCTTCTCTTAAAAAAAAAAATCCTGTAGTTTTTGCTAAGAAGTCCTTGATTGGTCTCTAGAGGCCACCATCATTCAGGAATGAAGCTGATTATCAGTAACAGAGAAATCTTGTCCTTGAAGCACCTCCGTCACTGTGTGACTAGTTCCTTGATTTTTCCATAGTTGTGCAACTCTCTGTTTTTTATCTCTTCCCATTTCCAGCTTTCTAGAAATCACACACCGTATCATTTTGCTGAAATGCCCTGGCAGCCAACCTTTACAATCTTACTCTGATTCCCAAGTACAATTCTCTTAGCAAACTGAGATACTGATCATGTGCTTTTTTTGCAATTCAAATCATTGGTCTCCTGTGTATATAGAATTCCAAGTTCTACACAGAATAGGAGAGTTCCCAGATTTAGCAAATATAAATGCAGTTAAATCTGAATTTAAAACAATGTTTTAATATAAGTACGTTCCATACATTTTTAGTGTAAGTATGCCCCATGCAATATGTACTTAAACTAGCAAATTATTGTTTATCTGAAATTGAAATTTAAGTAGGTGTGCTTTATTTTATCCAGCAACCATTAAGATGAACCCACCGCTTTGGAAAGACAACAGTAGTTACTCTTCCCACAAACATTTTCCTCTTTTTTCTATACTTCTTGTCTGTGTCTTCCACAGAACTTCCCTGGAAGAGCCCATGGCAGGCCAATCCTCTATCTTCAATTTACTCTCTGTTCCTTACCTTTCTAAAGCTTTTATCCTTCTATTCAATGTTAAGATTCTATCTCACATTGTGCTATGGTTGTTGGCGAGTATTCACCCATTAACTGCCCATGACAAGCGCCGTCACAGGGACTAGGGATTAAAGGTTAAATATGGCTGGGTACGGTGGCTCACACCTGTAAACCCAGCACTTTGAGAGGCTGAGGCAGGTGGATCGCTTGAACTCACGAGTTTGAGACCAGCCTGGGCAACATGGTGAAACTCCGTCTCTACAAAAAATACAAAAATTAGCCAGGCATGGTGGTGTGCACCTGTAGTTCCAGCTACTTGGGAGCGGAGGTGGGAAGATCGCTTGAGCCCTGGAGGCAGAGGTGCAGTGAGCCGAGATCATGCCACTGCACTCCAGCCTGGGCAACAGAGCGAGACTCTGTCTCAAAAAAAATTAAGAAGTTAAATACATTAATCACTTTGATCATCTACAGCAATGTAGAGTAAATACTTTGACATACTTTTTTTTCCAGCCAGAAAAAACATTTCCCCATATTGTTTGTAACTCCAAAAGGGCATGCTTACTTCTGATTCCTTTTAATGTCTGTAGGGTTAACATAGTGATTCAGTGCATATGTAAATTCACAAAACTGGATAGGACTGGGGAAAGCATGAAATGCAATATGTATTATTTAGCATTTATCACCTACTTACCAGACGATGGAGGTGTTGATTTTCTGGAACTAGGTACTATGTCACCCAAACTGGATGATGAATTTCCTCCTGATTTACTGGAGTAAAGCAAAAATTTCTATTAAATCTGATACTTATTTCAGATCCTCAAACGTTGGTAAAACGTTACTCAATAAACATGATAATTCATTGTGTTTTTATTCAACTTTAAATTTATCTTTCATTTAAGGAAGAAAACAGTATTTCCCAGTGGAGATTCCTGGAGTACTTGAAATAGGCACATGATGGTCTCTGATTTCAAATTGAAGGTTTAATTTTAAAAGGCCCTGAGAGAATGGAAGAGAACCAGTGTAATTTCTGCAGCCCTCAAATTATCTGCCCAGATCACAGATAGCGAAACAGCACAGATTTATTTTGCTTTTTATTTTAGAGACCCTCAGAGGTGATGCATAGAACCTTAAGGCTAACACCCAAGATTAATATTTCCTTCTTGTTTGGTTGCAGCTCCTCTGTTTTAGGCTTATTTTATTAATAGTATACTAAGATTGAAAGCACGCAAGCTTTTATGAGCAACCTATCAAAGAACAACAGAGCCACATGAAAACTTGCCAACCACTAAAAGACACACGAAGAGACACGACTAAACAGAATTGATATGATGCAGTCATCAGATAGTGCCCAGAATATTTCTCAAGCATGACTCACATGGAGAATGAAACTTGGTTAATTTAGGAATAATCTGAACATCATACATTTCAGAACTACCAAATTCGAAAGTTTGATGTAAGATAAACTTCAGTGTCTCAGAAACATTGGAGTTAATATTAGAACAACAGCATTTGTGTTTTTCACCAGCATACTGGCATGCTAAATAACATGTTACTGAATGACCCCTCTCTCAGATGAAGATGAGAAGAACATTTTAAATTTGGGCAAAATGATCTCACTGCCTAATGTTTATTATTATGGCCAAGCCAGGGTCTAGTTGAAAGAATTTGCTACAGCGTTTATGCATCAAAGGGCAATATTTGCTTATGTAAATATTAATATGAAAATAAAAGTTTTATTAAAGTATCAGTAACAGGCTGAATGTTATTGCTACTGTTCTAGCATTTTTATGCATAAACATCAAAAACTATTAGGCAAGTAGCAAGAGGGCTCTATATCTGTTTAAGGTTAAGAGATACTCAAATACATTTAGTAAGGGCATCAGACAGTATGTGAAATTAATGACAAGTGATATTTATAAAAGCAGTTTCTGGCAGTTATACAAGGACCTATTACCAAGACCAAAACATTTTTTTTTCCCCCTAAAGTATTAAGTCTAATTTCAGTTCAAGTTCATGGGTTTTATATTTCCTTTGAATTTTAGTAACAGCCAAATATTATTTGAGTTATATAAAATTGTGACAAATACTGCAAACGGTGACCATGGCTAGGATGCAGATTTGTCCTTGACTTTTAATTCTATTAAAATGCCAAGTTCTTGAATTGTACCCCAATTCCATTTCCATTGAGTTCTGTCAATTTTTATAATTTCTGTATCAGAGTTTTTAAAGACTGCCAGATTCTGGTTATGTCCTCAAAACAAAACTGCATTTAAAATGTTAAGAGGCCGGCACAGTGGCTCACGCCTGTAATCCCAACACTCTGGGAGGCCAAGGTGGGTGGATCACCTGAGGTCGGGAGTTTGAGACCAGCCTGGCCAACACAGTGAAACCCTGTATCTACTAAAAATACAAAAATGAGCTGGGCGTGGTGGCGCGTGCCCGGAGTCCCAGCTACAGAGAGAGAGGCAGGAGAGAGACTGAGGCAGGAGAATCACTTGAACCCGGGAGTGGAGGTTGCAGTGAGCCCAGATTGTGCCACTACACTCAAGCCTGGGCACAGAGTGAGACAAGGGAAAAAAAAAAAAAAGAAGAGAAATGTAAAAACCTGTGAAAGCAAGTAAAAGTATTTTCATATACTTAGGCAAAATCTTGAGACAAAATAAAATGAAGAAAATCAAAGAAAAAGATATATGGCTGTAAGAAAAGGTAACCTAGTTCTCTGGAGTAAGTTCTGAGGTGTTACATTTCCCCAAATACGGATAACTCAGAATCCTAAGGAAAAAAATGCAAGAGCAAAACAACATATCTAATAAAGTAAATAGTAACAGATGGCAATAACCATTTGTCCTGGGCTTGCTGTGCCTGGCAAGACCTGGCTCCTTAATTTGCAGTACAGCATGGAGGTCTGTACAGCATGGAGGTCAGGTTGCCATCTTGGTTCTGACGCTTACTAGCTCTGCGACCTTGGTCAAGTTCTCTAACTTCTCTTAACCTGTTTTCTCATCTGTGACCTGTAAGATCTAATACCCACTGCTCCCACAGGTCCTTATAAAGAGGAGTGGAGCACTAATGTTAGCCTAGGGAAGCCCATTTGGGAGACACAGGAGACTACATTTCTCTGACAATTTTGGGAAAAATGTCTACTCCCTTTGAAGTTGTTCTCATTTCTTAGTTTCTGTATGAAGAGGCAGAAAAAGACACAAGCCTGCCTCTGCAAAAATCCATCCCAAATTTTCCAAAATGCATTCTACAAAACACTCTTCCTAAGACATCAACCAGAGGAGTTTTGATGAGAAAGTAATTTTAGTAAATACTTAAAAAAATTCCCATTCCACCAGAGATTCACGGTGTCCATGATCACATTAAAAGGCTCTGAAAAATCCTAAAGTAACTTTCTATTACCTAGAACTATCCTAAATTTATTTTATCTTGGAACCCCTTTCTCAAGTGATTTGACAAGAAAATTCTGAAAAATGCTGAATTGTCCTAACTAAAAACAAAACATCCCCCAGCTGGGATAACTTCAAACCTCAACAAACTATATACTACCTAGTTGATAAGAGCAATGTCTACACCCTATTACAACAACATTTTTCCATATAAGGTGGCTTTTGTTTGTTTGTTTTTTCAGACGGAGTTTCACTGTCGCCCAGGTTGGAACATGATCTCGGCTCACTGCAACCTCCGCCTTCCAAGTTCAAGTGATTTTCATACCTCAGGCTCCTGAGTAGCTGGGATTACAGGTATGCACCACCACGCCCAGCTACTTTTGTATTTTTAGTAGAGACGGGGTTTCACCATGTTGGCCAGGCTGATCTCAAACTCCTGGCCTCAAGTGATCCACCTGCTTTGGCCTCCCAAAGTGCTGGGATTACAGGCATGAGCCACCGCGCCTGGCCATAAGGTTTTGTTAACTAGTATTATGATACCATTTTCAATACAGAGGGTAGGAAAACACAAAATAAGGTCAATGGAACATTAAGAATTGAAAGAATACTATCAGGTCTTCGAACACCCTGCAGGCAAAATGCAGATACGTTATTTATCTACATGCCTCTACTTTTTTTTCTCATTAAGAAATGCATTTTCAACAAAAGTTTAATATTTAATATTGCATATAAAATATGCATTATATATATGTTGGCCTAATGAATAATTTACTGCTGCTAATGATAATAATGGTACATGTCCAGGTTTGTTACACAGGTAAATTGCATGTCTCAGGGATTTGGTGTACAGATTATTTTGTCACCCAGATAATGAACATAACACACCAGGAGGTGGTTTTTCTGATCCTCACCCTCCCCCGATCCTCCACCCTCAAGTAGTACCCAGTATGCAGTGTTCCCTTCCTGGTGTCCGTATGTTCTCAATGTTTAGTTCTCACTTACAAGTGAGAACATGCAGTATTTGTTTTTCTTTGTTTGTTTGTTTTTGTTTTTTTGAGATGGAGCCTCACTCTGTCACCAGGCGGGAGTGCAGTGGCGCGATCTTGGCTCACTTCAACCTCTGCCTCCAGGGTTCAAGCGATTCTCCTGCCTCAACTTCTCAAGTAGCTGGGACTACAGGCACATGCCACCATGCCCAGCTAATTTTTGTATTTTTTTTTTTTTTAAGTAGAGATGGGGTTTCACCATGTTGCCCAGGATGGTCTAAATTTCTTAACCTTGTGATTCGCCCGCCTCAGCCTCCCAAAGTGCTGGGATTACAGGTGTGAGCCACTGCGCCCGGTCCCCGTATTTGGTTTTCTATTCCTGTGTTAGTTCGCTTGGGATAATGGCCTCCAGCTCCATCCAGGTTGCTGCAAAGGACATGATCTTATTTATTTTTTTTTTTTTTGAGATGGAGTCTCACTCTGTCGCCCAGGCTGGAGTGCAGTGGCACGATCTGGGCTCACTGCAACCTCTACCTCCCGGATTCAAGTAATTCTCCTGCGTAGCTGGGATTACAGGTGCCCAACACCACACCCGGCCAATTTTTGTATTTTTAGTAAAGATGGGGTTTCAACATGTTGGCCAGGGTGGTCTTGAACTCCTGACCTCAGGTGATCCGTCTGCCTCAGCCTCCCAAAGTTCTGGGATTACAGGCATGAGCCACTGCGCCCAGCCAATCTTGTTCTTTTTTATGCACGCCTCTACTTTTATCTGACTGAATGCATCTCACCATCTGAGCACTCTCAATAACCCAGGAATTAATGAAAGTCAGTTCTGGGGTGGAGGTCTCAAAACACAGAGGAATCCATCTGAACTAAACGAACTTGACAATTATAAAAAGCCAGTTAATGAGGATGGGTATTCCAAACCACAAAGCATATTCTGTTTCACTCATCTGCTGATGCTTGAAAAAAATACTTGCTAACATTAAAGTATTATCACTGACAAAGGGATTTGCATCTTAGATAAACAAATAAGATGTAAGATGGCGAAAACAGAAATCCAGCGATTCACATTTAAGAAAGGCCTTGCCCATGTCCCATCCTTTCACATAGGGAGAGGCATGCTGCATCCCTAGACCCGTCTGCATATGATTCCATGTAAAATTCAGTATGTGTATGAGAAGGCTTTCTAGCGATTCTTTTAGAGAGGGGCAGACAACCTCACGAATCCTAGGAGGGATTATTCAGCCCCAGCTTCTTACATAACTCATCTAATTGCCATCTGCACAGGCAGTTTTAACTTGTTTCATACTTTGCTTCTCTTTAAGTGCTTAACAGTGGGTAGAACTGAAAATTGAGTTTCTCAGGTGAAAATGAAACTAACAGATGACAAGAGCTGCCATTTCCTGATGATGTCTGAGACTGTCATCTCCCAAACATCTCCTAGCCATACCAGGCAGCTACAGACAGTGGGATTAGTCACCAGGGCTATTCTGTGCCAGACTGTTTTTCAGTAAACGATTAAGGTTTCAGAATTTTCTCAGCACTGGAGCCTGGATTTAATACTCTGTGACCTTAGCTCTTTTCATTAATGATAATAATTTGATACTTCCCCAAATAGGATGAAAATCAGGTGGTGGATTGAAGTTTTTTAAATGCAGGAAAATGCAAGATTTGTGATGCTATCAATAAACCATATCACCAGCCTCCTTGTTAATACATAATAAAGGATATAGAATACAGCAGACAACAGTACACAGATAGTGGTATAATCTAAGTTTTATGCAAACACTTGACATCTGTCTCATACCTGGAGTAGAATTTCCCTTGCTTGGCTCTCTGTTCATGCTGCAGCCTCATATTTTCTAGTTTTACTGGGCTTGGAATGAATCCGATTTCACAGCCTTCTTTTACCAGTCTCCCTATCCACCAGTCATTGTTAAATTTCTAAACACAAAATCAAAAGCATTAAAAATCAGTGCACAGAAGGTCAAATCCTTGTTCTTCCACACTATTTTCAGTGGAGAGAAATATGGCAATGACAATGAACTATGCCTCAAATATTATCATTCAAGAAACCCTTTGGCTCATGGGTTTCACATGTAAGAAATGTTTTTAGTGTCCTCAGCAATCTGTCAAAGGCTCTTCGTTCCTTGTCTGTCCTGGTGCTGCCATAGGACCAGGCTGAATTCCATTGCAGCAGCTGCTGTCACCTTGAGTAGGGATAAGCTCTCTGGGTTCAAAGAATAACAGCCCATCCTACCAAGAGATCTTTAGGAAGTAGTGTTACAGAAATATTCCCCTTATATAATCAGAAGTATTGAGAGAAAGAGATAAATATTGAAGTCTACCTTAAATATTTCATGTCACAGGACAATTTACCTTTGTGCAAACAGTTTTATAATTACACAGTGCGATGTTCACAGATGATTTCTCTACTTGTGTGATGTTGACAATTTATCTCTTGCAGGTGGAATATGTATCTTAAATCTTTATGATCTGCCTTCATTTTCCTTGATGGAATAAATCTGTCCTTGAACACCTCAAAGAAGAATATACATTCTGTTTTTCTCCTTTCCCCTTTCAGCACCAACCATCAAGAAGAGGCCCCGTAATAATCTAACTTCCCGGTGTTAAGTGAGATTCTAGGCACAGCATCACTTCTGATAACTTTTTCTATTGTTCCCACCAAGCCAGTATTTGACATCTCTTTTCAGAGGTTACCAAAATGGTAGGCTCTAAATTCTCTAGGTTGTTTTATTTTTAATCGAGATAGGGTCTTGCTCTGTCACCCAGGCTGGAATACATTGACATGATCCCAGCTCGCTTCCGTCTTGAACTCCCAGGCTCAATCAATCCACTGGCCTCAGCCTCCTGAGTAGCTGGGACTCCCAGTGTGTGCCACCATGCCCAGCTAATTTTTTTTTTTTTTTTTTTTTTTTTTTGTAGAGATGGGGTTTTACCCTGTTGCCCAGGCTGGTCTCAAACTCCTGGGTTCAAGAGATCAGGCTTCCTTGACCTCTCAAAGCGCTTGGATTACAGGCATGAGCCATAGTATCCAGGCTTCGAGGTTCTTTTTTTTTTTTTTTTAGACTGAATCTCACTCTGTCGCCAGGCTGGGGTGCAGCGGCGCGATCTCGGCTCACTGCAACCTCCGACTCCCTGATTCAAGCTATTCTCCTACCTCAGCCTCCCGAGTAGCTGAGATTACAGGCATATACCACTACACCCAGCTAATTTTTGTATTTTTAGTGGAGACAGGGTTTCGCCATGTTGGCCAGGATGGTCTCGGTTTCCTGACCTTGTGATCCGCCCACCTTGGCCTCCCAAAGTGCTGGGATTACAGGCATGAGCCACTGCGCCCGGCCCTAGGCTCTTTTAATTGGCAGTCATCAACTCCTTTGCTGACAGCCTTTAGTGCAGTGAAGAGATTAAATTTACACATGCTTCCTATAACATATTATACCCTACATGGAAGGCTCCAAGTATAAATTCCTCCAGGTCCAAGAAAAATCTCAGGATCACACACTGAGAATATTCTACAGGGGAAATTTCTGGTCAGTTAACACAGTGCTCCACAAGGCAGGCATTTGATAAATGTTGACTCCAAGCAAAGCTTAATTAAGGATGAATGTTTCCAGTTTGCAGGTTGTATCATTGCTCACTAAAAGGTGGAGACATTTAGCATGTGGGAAAAGGACTTTTCCTGATACCTCTTTGTTGCCTTACTGGCATCAATGCTTACCATTCTCTCATCCACTGCAGAAATTTAGCATTTAAGGAGGAAAAAGGGCATCAGTAGTTTGAGTTTAGACACTGCCAGCAGAGAGGAGTCACGAATTCTAGATATTATTATTAAACCTTCCCCAGATGGCTAGACTTCAGGCATCAGAAAACTACACCTAGTCAAGGTGAAACATTAAAAGAAGAAGTACAGGGTAAGTATAAAAAAGGATCATCTACTCTAGCAGTTCCCAATTTCTGGGCCACAGAGCCCCAGGGAGCGCTGAAGTTATTGCAAGAGGCCCGTGACTTCTTTCCACTTTAAAAGGTATATTTATATTAGCAGAGGTTGAGAGCCATTGATTTAGTATGTATGTTATACAACTGCAGTGATGTGTGATGCTGCTTCACAGAAATGACATCTGAATAGGAAATAAGAAATGGTATGTCAAGGTGAAACATCACGCTGATAGAAAATGAAATTATTCTCCTTACTTCCTTAACATGCAGAAAATCTTTTGCTTCGAATGAGATGGCCATGCCAGGCACTGGAACATCATCTTCATGGGCCGCACTGTAGCTGACATTTGTCCGAACCGCAAATGCCACGGGCTTTGTCTAAAGTGGGAACAGAAAGAGGGAAAAAAATAAGAACAAAACAACAGTGTCCCTCCTTCTTCCCCTCAAATACAAAGATACACTGAATAACTGCTGTAATCGATGTTGGTTTCCCCGCTGCATTGGTTCTTTATCACAAAACAGTTTGTTCGTATTCACAACACGTGAAATCTCCTAGCTCTGAGCTACGTAGCACCCATTTCTGAACTAGAAAAAGCCATTGTTCTCTTTGAAAGCACTGCAAGTAAAGACGGCGAAGATGAGCCACAGAAATATGTTTTCAACACTGGCGCTTGTAGCAACTGTAAATCAGGAAACACAAACGTGAATAAAATGCCCAGTTCTTCGGTTTCAGTGGAAAGGACTTAGTAACTGCCTCACTACCCCAAACATCTACTTTAATTAATTCATCATTAATGACATAATTCCGAAAGGTACAGTCTTTTGAATGAAAAAAGAACCGGGGAATATATGCTATAACTATAGCAGCTCTTACTCATGGCTGCAACGAATTATGAAAGCCATGACCTTTTCTTCTATTATTTCTCCTCCTTGAGTTTGTTCAACTACTAAAGATGATATTAATTAAGCTCTCTTTCCTTCTTTGATGCTTCGAAATTTTACAGATAAAGGGCCGGAAGTGGTGGCTCACTCCTGTAATCCCAGCATTTTGTGAGGCCAAGGCAAGAGGATTGCTTGAGCCTGGGAGTTCAAGATCAGCCTGGGAACACAGCAAGACCTCTTCTCACTAAAAACCAAAAACAAAAATTAGCTAGGTGTGGTGGCAGGCACCTATACGCCCAACAACTTGGGAGGCTAAGGCAAGAGGATCACTTCAGCCCAGGGGGTCTAGGCTGCAGTGAGCTGTGATCACGCGACTGCACTCCAGCCCGGGGGACAAAGTCAGTCCCTGTCTCAAAAAAAAGAAAAAAACAAATCAAACCAAAAGAATTTACAGATAAGCATTTATTCTCTCTTTAGCTAATATCTATTTATCCACAAGGTGGAAAAAACAGGTAAGCTCAGAAATGGTGAAAACTGTATTGTTCTAAGTGGTATTGTATTTCTTTCCCCATTATGGGCAAGTGGATTGCTTCTATATATTTCTTTCTTTCTTTTCTTTTCTTTTTTTTTTTTTTTTTTTTGACAGAGTCTCACTGTGTAGCTCAGGCTGCAGTACAGTGGTGCAATCTCAGCTCACTGCAACCTCCTCCTCTGGAGTTCAATTGATTCTCCTGCTTCAGCCTCCCGAGTAGCTGGGATTATAGACGTGAGCTACCGCGCCCAGCTAATTTTTTGTATTTTTAGTAGAGACAGGGTTTCACTGTGTTGGCCAGGCTGGTCTAGAACTCCTGACCTTGGGTGATCTGCCTGCCTCGGCCTCCCAAAGTGCTGGGATTACAGGCATGAGCCACCATGCCCGGCCTCTTCTATATATTTCTTATATACACCATATATACAAAGTAACATAGTTTTTCATGTGATATTCCTTTTAACCTATTTTTTTTTCTTTTTTTTTTTTTTGTGGAGACAGAGTTTCGCTCTTGTTGCCCAGGCTGGAGTGCAATGGTACGATCTCGGCTCATTGCAACCTCCACCTCCTGCGTTCAAGTGATTCTCCTGCCTCAGCCTCCCAAGTTGCTGGGATTACAGGTGCCCGCCACCACGCCCAGCTAATTTTTTGTATTTTTAGTAGAGATGGGGTTTCACCATGTTGGTCAGGCTAGTCTTGAACTCCTGACCTCACGTGATCCGCCTGCCTCGGCCTCCCAAAGTGCTGGGATTACAGGCGTGAGCCACCACACCCGGCTTAACCTATTCTTTTAAAAAATTATTTCAACCTCTCAGGAGGAGGGAGCAGTTTCTCCCTACTCAATGAGCTTTTTACCTGGACTTGCCAGAGAAGACAAGGAGCTGGAGTAGAGAGAACCCATGTTCATTTCCAAATTTTCCAAAGTTAATTTGTTCTACCTGACTGTTGTCTGGGTTGAAGACTGAGTTAAGGGCCCTAATGTTACTAAGGTCTAGTCACAATTTGCGGATTGGGAAAGGAGGACCAAATTCTGGATACAGGCACAATCGACATGAGGTGAATTTAAATATTTGGAAGCCAGTTCTTGACCTCCACTATAATTTTTTTTTTTTTTTTTTTGAGACTGAGTCTCACTGCGGCGCCCAAGCGATCTCGGCTCACTGCAAACTCTGCCTCCGAGGTTCACACCATTCTCCTGCCTTAGCCTCGCGAGTAGCTGGGACTACAGGCGCCTGCCACCACATCTGGCTAATTTTTTGTATTTTTAGCAGAGACGGGGTTTCACCATGTTGGCCAGGATGGTCTCGATTTCCTGACCTTGTGATCAGCCTGCCTCGGCCTCCCAAAGTGCTGGGATTACAGGCGTGAGCCACTGTGCCTGGCTGACAGTATGATGTTTCTATTTTTTTCTAGAAATTTTCTTAAATATATGAAGTTTACTTCTAGAACTACAATCATAATATATTGCATTTCATCCAATATTAAACAAAAAAAATGAAAAAACAAAACATATATATTTTTTAAAAAGGCCAGGTGCTGTGGCTCATGCCTGTAAATCCCAATACTTTGGGAGGGCATGGTGGGAGCATCGCTTGGGCCCAGGAGTTTGAGACCAGCCTGGGCAACAAAGTGAGACCTTGTCTCTTACACACACACACACACACACACACACACACACACACACATACACACACACACACACACACACACATACACACACACACACACACACACACACACACACACACACACACACACATACACACACACACACACACACACATACACACACACACAGTTTTTCAAGTGATATACTTTTAAAAATATATTTTGGCCGGGTGCAGTGGCTCATGCCTATAATCCCAGCACTTTATGGGAGGCCGAGGCAGGAGGATCACCTGAGGTCGGGAGTTCAAGACCAGCCTGAACAACATGGAGAAACCCCATGTCTACTAAAAATACAAAATTAGCCAGGCATGGTGGTGCATGTCTGTAATCCCAGCTACTCAGGAGGCTGATGCAGGAGAATCACTTGAACCTGGGAGGCGGAGGTAGCAGTGAGTCAAGATCGCACCACTGTACTCCAGCCTGGGCAATAAGAGGGAAACTCTGTCTCATAAATAAATAAAATAAAATAAAATAAAATAAAATATATTTTAAAACTACCTTGGCCAGGTGCAGTGGTTCACGCCTATAATCCCAGCACTTTGGGAGGCCAAGGCAGGCGGATCACATGAGGTCAGGAGTTTGAGGCCAGCCTGGCCAATATGGTGAAACCCAGTCTCTACAAAAATAGAAAAATTAGCTGGTCACAGTGGCTCATGCCTGTAATACCAGCTACTCGGGAGGCTGAGGCAGGAGAATCGCTTGAACCCAGGAGGCAGAGGCTACAGTGAACAAAGATCATTGCGCCACTGCACTCCTGCCTGGGTGACAGAGTGAGACTCCATCTCAAAAAAAAAAAAAAAAAAAAAAAGATTACCTCAACCATTCACCCTTCTTTGATACTTAGATTCACGACATTATTCAGTATGAAAAATATTCTGCTTTGAAAAATCTTTGTACAAAAGCCTCTATTTAGAATTCTTTCCTTGGGATGGAGTCCCAGAGGTAGCATGTGTCAGACATGAATTATTAAGACTTTTAAAATCGTATTCCAAACTACCATCCAAATGGGCCACACTGTTTTATTCTGCACCCAGCACTAAAGCATGGTGCTCTTTTTAGTGAGATGTAACCTTAAAAATATTTTAAAGTATTTACATTTTATTAAAAAAAAAAAAAACTTTTTAGAGACAGGGTGTTGCCGTGTTACCCAGACTGGTCTCAAACTCCTGGCCTCAAGTAATCCTCCCCCTTCAGCCTCCCAAGGATGTAGTCTTCATCAAACTCAGTTTTACCACTAGAAACACAATTTCCATGAGTAGATCCATCCATTATTCAGAAAAGTTTCTGATCACAAAAGTATAGATTCAAGATTTTTTTTAAAAAAAATAATCCTAGCATGGCCTTTTACTTCTTTCAGATGTTTCTTTTACTCCTTGGAAAAAAACAGAGTTTAAGCATCACACATAGTTTTTCATCAGTGCAAGACAAATTTTTAATGCCTGACTCGACAGAAGACCCCAGAGAAAATCTTATGACTTTTACCAACTTTATATCACTTTTCAATCATCTGAGTATCAGAAAGAGGGGACTGAAAAAGTAAAAAGAAATCAAAATGGTGGTGGAAATTGGTGTATAATTCCAGGGATCATAGGTAATAAGGTTATACTCTTAGATTAAGATGTCAAGTTGGAACATGCCTCCTTTCTTGCCTCATCTCCTGTAACCAATGATGTTACCATTAGATGTGGTTTATATAGAATTAGCTTTACAGAACCAGGAAAGAAGAGCAGCAGATACCTATTCCTCAATATCTTTACTTCAGGAACTGTATTTCTAAAATTAGACTAGAGTACAGTCAAGGAATGCAGGGGATAGACGTAGCCAAGATAAAAGACCCCAGGATGCTAAACCAGAGAGGCCCATGACAATGTCACTTCTGATTCCCTGGTCTCACTTCAGCTTGCAGTGTGTCTACAATGTGGAAGGTATTCTCCATATTAATTTCATTCCTATGGGTTCAAGAATAAGGGATTTTAAGTGGACTTGGATTTGAATGTTGATTCTGCCATTTATTAGGTGAGTGGCCTAGGCAAATTCTTTAGTCTCATTGAGCATATTTTCACATGGCTAAAACTAGGGTAAAAGCACCATTCTTTAAGGTAATGAGAATATAGAAAATGGATTGCATCAGGCTAGGCTAGTATTGGGTATATAGTCATCCCTTGATATCTGCCATGATATTGTTTCCAGGACCCCCAAAATCTAAAGATGTTCAAGTCCTTGATATAAAACAGTGTACTTGGCTGTGCTCAGTGGCTCACACCTGTAATCCCAGCACTCTGGGAGGCAGAGTTAGGTG